GCCGTCTCGTCCCAATAAGTTAGTTTTAAGTGCTCTCCCCCCTGGTTATTATCCCAGTTGGTGCTGGGAAATGGTTGGATGGGGGGGTGTAAATGTTGAATACTCTTCCCCGTTCTTTGCCAGCTTGAATCACATCGCCCCCGAGCGGAAGGCGTGCCGTGGTTTATCTTTTGACAGTTTACGATGTATTATCAACACTTGGGCTCGTCCCGGGGACATGGTGTCAGTTTTCAAATAAAAAAAATAAATAGAAATGTTTAGTTCCTTTAGGCCATATTTGATGTATGATTGTTCTGTCGTTCTGTGTGTGTGTGTGTGTGTGTGTGTGTGTGTGCTAGACAGACGCACAGTTAATCTGTAGTTCAAAGTTAATGCACAATACCTATTTATGACCTCTTTTCCCTGGGCCTGGCCGAGAAAACAATTTAGGAAATTTTAACAATCACACTTTCCACAGTAACGTCTCTCTGTTTCAGACTTTCTTTGGAAGCAAATCACAGTGATAGAAATTGCCTCGCTGTTTTTTAGTTTTTTTTCCTGTTTATCTTTGGGATCTGAAGGAGGTGCATTACCTCGGTCGGGGCGAGGAGGGAAAGTTTCAAGCACAGCAACCCACACACTCCCTAACTTGTGGTTGGCAACAGCGTCCAATCAAACAACGCCGGCTGGTCTTCACTGATTCAATTGTTTGCTAGTGGATCGACCCTCCAGCGGCTGTGAATGTCTAGGACGGGGGGGTAGGAATGTGAGGGTTAAGTCTGAGGCCATGGCTCTCTCCCCCGGGGAACGGTGAGTCGGGCCCTCTGGTTTGGGGAGTGAGCCTGTGCCACAAAGTGAGGGATACCTTCGCCTTGGGGTGCGTTCACGAGTTAAACTGAGCCTGAGATGGACCGGCAGGTTTGATCCGTTGATCCAAGAGTTATGTGAAAAGATTGTGGCGAGCAGGGAGCCCAGCAGGGGTCTGAGGCTGAGAAGCTCACGCATCACGCAGGGGGGCTCGGAGCACAGCCGCTGCCGTCTAAATGGGCATCTGATCCCGGTGCCTCAGCCCGCCCTCGGGCTGCCTTGGGAACACCTCGGGCTTCTAGGGAACATTTGGACAGCGTTGCTGCTAAGAGGGACGCCTGTAAATACTTTGCTACGTCGACCCAATGGCCCAAACACAAAAAAGCTTGAGGACAAAAGTCTTGTCCTCCAAGGACATTGCGCAGACTGCGTAATGTGAAGTTTGGTCGAGCACAGCAGATACTGTCAAACCTAAAAAGCCCGGGTTACTTAATTATTCCATCTTTTGTGCCACCCAACAGCATGTTGGGAATTTAGGATTTTACGCTCCGGATTGATCACCTTCGTAACGAGACGGGGAAGCTTCTATTCAACCGCTTGATTCTGCGCGGTTATTGGAGCATCGGGCTCGTAGCAGCTAGCCACCAACGGGCACAGAGTGACTCTGAGCTTGAAGGTTGTTTTTCTTTCTGTTTTTTAAAGCGGCTCCTCACTGCAGGAACCCCTCCCCTCATTACCTGCAGTGGGAGAGAAAAACAAACGGAAACCAACCAGCGTATGGATTATTTTTTGGCTGCTTTTCAGACAAAGGTCAACCGTCGGGTTTGTGTGCGAGCGACTCGGCGTGTGTTCTTTTAGCGAGCTGGGAAAGGGTCGCTCGCGCTTGTGTACAAACGCGCCCCAGGCCAGAATTATGAAGCGTTAAAAAAAAGGCCTTTTTCTTTGACTTTGGCTGTTTGTTTTGTAGCTGTTTGTTTTTCTCGTGTTGGAGTGTTTTCACCCCCCCTCCCCCTCGCCCTCCTTCCCCGGTCGCCCACTTTTTACACCTACTGCTCAAACGTATGGGGACCTCGTCACACCTGTGTTGGAAAGAAAGGAAGCTGCGTTTGGGCCCCCAGGTGGGAGAAAGATTTTTCGTCTTTCGACGCCTTTTCTCCGCCACCAGCTACCCAAAGGAACCCTACTAGGCCCCCGCCTGTCCTATATTTAACTTAACAACAAAGAAGCTTCACAGACCCGTTGATTGACAGGTGCTACTAAATGAGAAGCTGCTCTCATTTCCAGGGTCGCACACAGCAAAAATGCCTATTTATCCACCATCCGACATGTAGAGCGTAAGACCCCAGAAAGCATCTCTTAATACCCCTCAAATGTATGCGCTCCGAACAAAAAGCCCTTAATTGCCTCAGGGATGAGCCGAGCGGCTCCTATTGGCTCTGTGTAAACAGGCAGCTGGCACTCTACCATCACATTTTACTATCTTATACTTCTCACACTACATATGTACTGTGGCGAAGGATATTTCACTGTTCAAATGGAGGCACTGCAGGAATTAGCCGCCCAGATCTCCTCGTCATGTCGGATCTGCTCCGTGCTTTACAGTAACAGCGTTCGGTTTTATGCGTGCCTTTTAATGTAAATGGAGTTTTAACGATTTTCTTGATGGCCTTTCGATTTAAAGTGGGTGTTTAAAGATGCCACTGATCGGCGATTAGAACTCAAGTGGGATCAAACTGAAACATAAATGTAAATCATATCTAAAGTAATAAGCAGCAGTAAAAGATGGCCACATTAAACGGACACATTAAACGGCATCTTTGCATATATATCTATGACCTATGATGAAGACACAATAATAAAAGGTAGTGCAGTTCTGCTGTACGGAAGCAGAGAGGGGCTAAAGGAATTGAATCTTCTTGACAATTCTTTATTCCAAACGGTTTCTATCATTATTATTATATTATTCACTGCGGTCAATCGCGGCTCATGGACTGTTCTGCTCTTTGAAGGATCTGGCTTGTACAAACAGATTTCACTGAACATTTTTTAATTGCACTTGAAATGACCAAAGAGGAATTTCACCACATTTATTATTATTATTATAATAATGATTTGATATAGTGGAATCCTCTTCATTCTAAGTGGTCTAGTTGGCAAGCGGGGTGTGAGGTTACCGCAGCGTCGTAGCGAAAAGAGAGCTGAGCCTGAAGGCGGAGCTGCCGATCCACTGGTCGATCTTCGCCTTCGGTCGTGAAGGACGGGTCATGATTGAAAGACCTGCGGCCGGCGTCTCCCTCAGAGCGGCCGAGAAGCTCAGTCATCCGCGAGCCGCCGCTCCTTTGCGTTTGAGGTGGTTTGGGCGTCTGGTAAGGATGCCCGCTGGGCGCCTCCCCCAGGGAGGCTTAGGGGAAGACCCAGGACTGGGCTCCTGTGAGGGCAGAATGACACGGCAGCCATCCATCTCCTCCGTCTATGATGCAGCGGCTGAGTGTGTGGGGGCAGTTCTCTTCATATCAGAAGATGGAGGGAGAAAAAGAGATTGGTGTCCGTGTCACCCAAAGAGGACCCCTCCTGTAGTTCATAAGAAGTAACAGATGTCTTTGAATTAGGCCTGGGCGGTATATTTTTTTTCTCTAGATGCATTCGAGAGACTCTAAACACATTAATTCATTGATGCCGAAAAGCACTTCACCGCTCGTAACGGCGAGCAGCAGGTGTGTGTGTGGCGTGGCCTCTGTTCTGTCTCTTGTTTTTTTCACCTACATTCCCATGGGTCCTAAGTCCACTTTCAGCTCCTTATCACTCCCTATGTACATTGATAACAAACACCACACAGTAATCAGCGGTTCGACAAACTTTGCAATAAATCTTTTTGTGATCCAACTTTTCAAAACCCAAAACAGACACAGCTCCTCTCTTGGGCGCAAGTTGTGTTGGTGCATCTCTGGTCTCTCGTTGTTCCTCCTGCATCGCTCTTGTCCGTGTTTTCATGTTGCGATGGAGTTCCTTCTTGTTGTGATAGTGGCTGAACTGTACCCAGCATGCAGTTCGGCGGTGCAAATTTATAATTGTACAATTATTAATGTTACAAATCGTTTGTGTCACAAACAATTTGTCTGTTGTCTCTAGTGTTTCGCCCTGTTAAAGGGAGGTTATATAAAGTTCTAACCATAACTCCATCTCAATACACGTACAGCGGATGTGATGTGATTTTCTGGATTTGTTTTACATTCCGTCACTCACAGTTGAAGAGTACCAATGCTAAAATGACAGACTCCTACATGCTTTGTAAGTGGGAAAACCTGCGAAATCTGCAGTGTATCAAATACTTGTTCTCCCCACTGTACCACAAGTAACCCCTGTGGCCTCGGCAGTGAGAATACATTTTGCCGCCTGCCAAATAGCGACAGCAGTTTTCACGGCTATGCATGACGTGTGTGAAAAATGAATACCGTGTGGAAATTTGAAACCGGCATACCGCCCCAGCCCTTCTTTGCATTGTTTCAGTGACCTCTGTTTGTCAAATGTTTAGCTTGATTTGGTGGATTTGTTTGGGTAAACGAAGCTCTCAGGACTTCTGCCTCTGGTCTGCACTCATTTCTTTGTTATCTGTTCATTTGGTCAGTATTCTGTTATCGACCTGTGCACAGAACGTTTTCATCTTTCATTGAGCTTTATCCGTCCACGCTTTGCTCTTGTCTCTGGCTTGTATTTCTTTTGTCAGTGTATAGAGAGATAAAAAAAGGAATGTGCGTAAAAAAATGTTTTTATCGCCAAATGGCATTTGTGATAATCTTTTGAATATACAACTCAAGTTGTTCTTTCGATAACGGAGCCACGTTGTTTTTCACGAGCTGATTAAGAGAGCCGTCTTTGTTTTTTGAAGTTCAGATTTTATTAATGCTGATATAATGATCTGCTGAGTTAAAGATGTCTCCTCGTCATGTAAGTCCATGGGAAAGTATTTTTAGACGCCTATGGAACTGCGATAGTTTGTGAATGCTGGGCTCCCTCCTCGCCACAAAGATAATTCCTTGTTGAAAATATTGTCGGGGAACTTAAACAAAATTGGTACAAATTACCATCTGTTTATAAAACGAGAATGTCATCTTGTGTCAAACCGTCATTCCTTTTATCAATCACAAAATCTGTAGATCCTCAACTGACGTGAGCACACAGCTGATCTGTCTGTCTCTTTTTTCGTCTCCCGACAGCCACCAAACCCAGACGACATGCTGGGACCATCCCAAGATGGCCGAGCTCTACCAGTCTCTGGGTAAGAGTTGTATGATCGGATGAGGCGACGGATTCCTCCGCCCTCTCCTATGTTCTCACCCCATGTCCCCCTCTGACTCGCGCTTTTTCTTTAGCCGACCTGAACAACGTTCGATTCTCGGCCTACCGGACAGCCATGAAGCTCAGGCGCCTGCAGAAGGCTCTCTGCTGTGAGTACCCTCCGGCTATATATATATATATATATATATATATAGTTTGCATGTACGTATATGCCTCCTGTGAAAGGGTTTTTGTCTCCTGCCTCAAGTGCACTCCCTTAACCAAGAGTGCCATTGTGTTTCCGCCCTCCCCCACTCTTTTCTTTGTTCTTTTTTTTCCTCCATTTCCAAGTCTATTTCTATTATTTTCTTTTTATTTACCTCATATGCCACAGTGTTTTTCTCCTCTATCGTCTCCTCTCCAGTTCATTCTGCTCCCACAGTCTGTGTGCGTGTGTGTGTGTGCGTGTGTGTGTGTGTGGGTGCGCGTGTGTGTCCATATGTGTGTTTACTCATCCTTCTCGTCTCCCGCCAGTGGAGCTGAAGAGTGTGAGCCACCTACGAGCTGCTCGTGATGTTTTTATGCGTATACGGTGCCATATTGCACGGAAGCGCCTATTTATGTTACGACTTTCTAAAAATACAAATGAGCAGGTTTCATGATTAACCCGGACGAAAGGATTTTCTTTCTTCTTTTCCTCCCAGCAATAGACTGGGAGGCATTTCATTCTTCTGCTTATCACTAGCAGCTCATTTCTTTTGCCAAAACAGCATTCGAGAGTGCTACTAAAAAGAACCATGTTTTTGTAGAATTATTTTCTATAATAAAAAAAACATACATATATATATATATGAAAATAAATCAAATGTGTGTATATATATATATATATTTGATTTTTGATGGTCTTTGATATTGTCAGGGTTTTTTTTCAAACATAACAATATATAAATACATTGAAAACCTTGACTGCATAAGAATAAGAATAAATATTATGCAAAATAAGAATCAAGAAATCAAAGGTTATGACAAATACATTTCTCATGTAAACCTTTGAGTTTCATCCGCTGCTCCGTACTAAACTCGTTACAGCTGATGTCATTAATTGTTTTAACAACGAATTGTATGTTCATGGCAACGGTGACACTTTGTGACAAACCCTTACCGGGTTTAGTGAATATTGAACCCATGTTGAGCAGCTGGAGATGGACACCACTCTGAATTAGGGATAATGTGACTCTGTTAAGTGCTTCATCATTAAAGCAGCCAAGTTGTTACAAGTGGATGGCAAAAGCGACTGGAAACTGGATAATAACTCAATGTATTACAGTAAACAGCTCTGAGACATGCACAAAGGGAATATAAATTAAATGAATGATTCAAATTACACATTTTTTGACTGGTTGGAAATCCTTGGAAGCAGAGCTTACAGAGAATATGAGTGGTGTCTGAGGCCTTCCTGCTATCACGTCTAATTACGTCTAGCTGATGTTTTCTGCCCCTTTGCTCGCCCGCCCTTTTGTTTGAATAATGCAGTGCTTTATTGATCCCACCCCCCCCCCGGAGTCCGCCTCCTCATCGCCGTCCTTGAAGCGGCACGAGCAGACTTAAGAAACGCGGGAGGACCTGAACACCCCCAGGTTTCTGTTAAAGTCTACAACTAACTTACGCCCCCCCCCCCCCCCCCCTTTTTTTTGTGATGTCTCCATCCGCAGTGGACCTGCTGAGCATGCCGATGGCGTGCGAGGTGTTCGATCAGCACGGCCTGAAGCAGAACGAGCCGCTGCTGGACATCTCAATGCTGGTCGCCTGTCTGACCAGCCTCTACCAGCGGCTGGAGCAGAACCACGCCCACCTGGTCAACGTCCCGCTGTGCGTGGACATGTGCCTCAACTGGCTGCTCAATGTCTACGACACGTACGTGTGGCGCTGCAACCGGCCGAGGGTTCTGTTTCATTGTTGTTTCACTGAGATATAACATTCAAAAAACATTCAAAAAAGTAATTATAATGTTTTGGGGTTGATAGCGGCCGTACGGGGAAGATCAGGACGCTGTCTTTCAAAACGGGAATTATCTCGCTCTGCAAGGCTCACCTGGAGGATAAATACAGATGTGAGTAGTGCACACATACACTCACATACCATGAAAGTAACCCTCGTTGTCCCGTTCAGAATAACAGTGGAGTAGAAGTGTAGGACTGTAACTGCAGGAGCCCCCGCACACACTTCCCCCGGCAAAGCCCCCGGTTGGCGGGGACAAGCAGAAAACTAAATGTGATGTATAGATGTAAACTACAGGCCAGTGGCACACACAAACACTGATTATGTGTCTATTCTTGCCCTGCTGGTAGTCAGTTGTTGGATTTTATTTAATCCCGGCTTTCCTTTCGAGTCATCTCACTCACAAGATACATAAGGAAAGACTTTTTGCACCAACATCAGTTGGACTGTAACATGGACGTAACAACCAGGTGCTAATTCCAGATTATTTATTTCTGTGTGTTTGACTCATATCCTCCTCCTCTCCCTCCACCCTCCAGTTTTGTTCAGGCAAGTCGCCAGCGCCACCGGTTTCTGCGACCAGCGTCGCCTTGGTCTTCTTCTCCACGACTCCATCCAGATCCCCCGGCAGCTCGGCGAGGTCGCCTCCTTCGGCGGCTCGAACATCGAACCGTCAGTCCGCAGCTGCTTCCAGTTTGTAAGTGAGGCGCTGGCAGGGACGCCTCATTCTGAGAGACGTGTTTTGACTGTGGGGCCCACAGTGACGAATGCTCTCACTCGTAATGGTTGCAGTCAAATGCTGCTAAAGCCCACAAGTCCATTGGCACTAATGCCTTAGGCCCCCCAGATGTGTTATCGTTTTTTACGTCGTTTTAATATTTTTTATAGAATTTTTTACAGAAGATTTTTTATATAGCAGATGTAACATGGAGGAGTCTGACAAGTGGAAGAGACTGAACACAATATGTAAACATACCTTCACAAGGGGGTTTGAAGTGATGGTGTGTTACAGCGAGGGAAGGGAGGTTGCCAGCGTTCTCTTTGTGAAAGAAATCTTCTTTCTTAAATCTTGGGGGCACACAGAGTCAACGTTGAGCCACAAAAGCAGCAGCAAATCCGACGTTTACATCATTCTTTCTACAAAGGACTCCACTAATTGCAGTATTACCAGATTATCCTTAATCTTTGAAAAAATGATCCGGTCTGAAGCCAGGGTTTAGTAATGTTGGAAAACGAGTGTAAGAAAAATGATCGAAACCAAAAAAACAACAGTCCAGTTTTCCTTACTGTCTTTTTCCAACAACGGTAGCTAACAGCTTTAGCTTTAAGTCCAAGCGTCTGCACCCTTGATTGTTTGGACCTTAATCCGTCACAGTCTGTCTTCTGTTTTTTCCCATGAGCGTGAAAAAAAAGAGGAAGATAAGGGTTCTCAGTCCAGTTTAAACTCAAAAATCGTCACAATAGACTTGCGTGTGTCACTCACTGGAAAGGTGTGGCCATTGTTTAATAGTTTTTGTAGGAAAATAAATGTATCACACTTTGTATACACAATACCACTGCTGTATTTTTCACATCAGAACATTCATTTTTTTATTTTTAACAAGCACAAAAAAAAATCCAAACACTTACATATTCACTCATCCGCTGTTACTTTTGCGTTGCCATTCTTACAAAATCAGTCAGAGTTGAATGTTAGTTTCAAAGCCTCAACGAATATGGACGACTAATGCAGATTATCACGTACCAACGCTCCCCTGTGTGTTGCGACCCGCCGTGGTTTGGTCATACCGATCCGAGTTGCTTTGGGTTTTTTTGCAAACCAGTTGAAATGTAACCCCCCCTCCCTTCCCTCCTCCCTCCTCTCCCAGGCCAATAACAAACCCGAGCTGGAAGCCGCCATGTTCCTGGACTGGATGCGCCTGGAGCCCCAGTCCATGGTGTGGCTGCCCGTTCTGCACCGAGTCGCCGCTGCCGAGACTGCCAAGCACCAGGCCAAGTGCAACATCTGCAAGGAGTGTCCCATCATCGGGTTCAGGTCCGTAGAGCCTTTCATTGTGTCTTACAGAACCCATGTTTGTTTGTCTTAGGCATAATAGGTGAGTGTTCCACACATGGTGCCCCTGAAAAGCGCACCTGGCTGTCTAATCAGAAAAAAAATGAGCAGAATTGGAGCCATTTTGCGGCCGGAGCATTATATTCATCCCATTACATAGAAGGCGATAAAACACAGAACTAATTACATTTTCAATTAAGCCCAAATGAAAGCAAATAAGAATTATGCTGTTTACTGGGAGTGGGGAGCACGGTCGTCCTCCAATCAGAGGGTTGTGGGTTCGATCCCAGGCCCGGCTAACCCGCATGCCGTTGTGTCCTTGGGCAAGGCACTTAACCCAACATTGCTCCTGTAGCTGCGACTACAGTGTGTGAATGGTAGTTACTGATGGGCAGGTGTCACTGTGTGTGGTTCTCCTGTCATCAGTGTGTGAATGGGTGTGAATGGGTGAATGATGTCATGTAGTGTTAAAGCGCTTTGAGTGGTCAGAAGACTAGAAAAGCGCTATACAAGTACAGGCCATTTACCATTTACTGGCGCACCACTGAACCTTGCCTTTCCATCTTTATGAAACTCACCTGTGTGCAAAGGCTTCTGGGAATAAGTATAGGCGGTATTGTTTTTCCAACAATTGTGTGAAAATATATTTTTATTATAGAATATGGAAGAGCATCCTTTTAAGTCACTTTTGTTTTCCTCATCTATGAATTAAGTGGGGAACGAAGTCAGAATTATTTGATTGGCTTTTTGACCATTGGCAAAAAATATTTTGGCAGATGTTTTTGTTTTTGGGGAGAGCCTGAGGTGGACCACTACCCCGACTTCTTAAAGGGACAAAAGGCACACAAAGCGCACGTATTGTGTATTGATAATGAGGCACAGGCGTACAAGCTGGAAGAAAACATGAATGTGCCCCTTGTGGCTGAAAAGAATACTGTGTGATACTGAGTGAGATAATATGAAGAAGACAAACCTTGGCAAACCTTTTTTTCCACCTTTTCTTAAACCATTAATACAAAAAAGGGGAATTTAAATTTGACTATTTTTCCCACTTACAGATTAGCTTCACGGTAAAGATAAATTCAACAGCAGTAGGGCGGTAAATAGCCTAACCTCTGCTTATGAATGATGGACAGAACTCCAGGTCCACATGTGTGTAACACTGACCCTTTTTTATTTGCCCAAATCGAGGTTTGGGCCCGTGAAGGTGTCTGCTCTCCGTGGGCCCCTTCTTCACAGGCAGGGATGCATTTCAATAAACAGCCCCAACGGGATAAATATATAATTTAGTTACTGGGATAAAATAATTTGAACTACTGTCTTTTTAAATAAAAAGAGCTGCTTTTCTATTTGCTCTCTTCTCAATCGCTACCGCGTCCCCCTCCCTCCCTCCCTCCTTCTCTCCCCAGGTATCGGAGTCTGAAACATTTCAACTATGACATTTGCCAAAGCTGCTTCTTCTCCGGTCGCGTCGCTAAGGGACACAAGATGCAGTACCCAATGGTGGAGTACTGCACTCCGGTACGAATACATACATATTTTTTTCATTGTATTTTGAAACAACTCTTTTTCTTTCTTTCTTTTTTGGCCAGCAGCCATTTCTGTTTATCAGCTCTCCTGCCTTTGAGACAGCTAACAAACCTAATTCAAATCCAGGATCAAATTTCCCACAACCAAAAGTGAGATTACGTAACCGGCACTGTCATTCTGCTCCATGAGACGTAACCAGTAACGTAAACGAAACATGCACAGTGGTCATGGAACGCTGCACTCCTGTTGCCACATATTTCTAGACCTCTCTCGTGTCTCAATGCTAAACATAAGCTATCAGACGATTGGCTTAGCACAACATGGTGAAATTGTTTTGGGAGGGTGTTATATCTGACATGTTTTCTAACGGCTGCTGTAAGTAAAGGGTTAAAGGTAAAGGATAGAAATGAAGACTCTTTCTTAGAACTGTAGTGAAACACTCCGACACGACAACTCACTAAAGAGTGAAGGAAAAGGGCTTGAAATGAATAAGTGGCATGCGTGTGTTTGTTCCCCCCCCTCCCCCCACACTCTCCCATGGAGTGAACAAAGCCACCTTTGTGTCCCGTCTCCCTCCAGACTACATCAGGGGAGGATGTCAGGGACTTTGCCAAGGTGCTGAAGAACAAATTCAGGACCAAGCGCTACTTTGCCAAACACCCACGAATGGGCTACCTGCCTGTCCAGACCATCCTGGAGGGGGACAACATGGAAACGTGAGTCCCTCTCTCACACACACACAGACACAGGGTCAAACAGAAAGAGAAACTAAGCTTCCTTGACACATTCAGACATATTCATTACTCACAATAGATCTGCTACTACTGCACAGAAGAGTATTTGGCCAACAGATCCACCTTTCATAGTGTTTGTGCAGTAAATGTGGATTTAAATGTGTGGAGTTTGTTCAGATTATGTGTAATGATTTTTTCTTGTTAAGGGATGTGAGAGAGGTGAACCTTGAAGAGTTTTTTATTGTTAACCTACAATTAGCTGTAATATACCGTCGTAGGGTACTGATGGCAATGCTACAAAAAGCTGAAGATGTCCCGTCTAATGTAATGGAGCTATTGGCTGTCAGAATTATTCATTCAAGGCTGAATGAGCCATGAAGGAATAATTAAAATGATTTTTTTTGTCAACCCCCCTCCCCACCCCACGCCTTTCTGTCTGTTAATCTGTGACTGATCACATCATGCCTTCCTGTACGGTGTCCTCTCACTTCCTGTGTCATCATCTAGCGCTCTTCTCTTTCAGTCCTGTCACCCTGATCAACTTCTGGCCTGTAGACCATGCGTGAGTACCTGGCTGGCACATTCACCACAGGGGGGTCAAAGAAACAGAGGAAAAGACACACACACACACTCTATTCTTATTAAATATTCTGCACAAGTCCCTATTTGTGGGCACTCAGGTTAGTGCCACAGGATCCCGGCTTACGACGTCAAGACAATGATCTCAGATCTTCTTTTTGGGGGGGGGAAAGTGAAGGAGATGCATTCCCAACCAGGAGTGTGGAGGTTTACCTACAGAGGAGCTCACGCCTGCTGCTTATCGAGTGTGCGCCGGAATCCACGGATCCCTCTCGGCCTTTTATTTGTTTTTTTATTATTCTGTCTGTTACTCTCTCCCTGTCGCAGGCCCGGATCGTCCCCTCAGCTCTCGCACGACGACACGCACACTCGTATCGAGCACTACGCCAGCCGGTAACGCTCCGTCTGCATCCAGCACCGGCAGCGCCGAGGCTCACAGAGTTGCGAACCGGACGCCCCTTTAGCGCCCTCCGGAGAGAGCTGTCCGAAACGCCAGAAAACTATATGATTGATGCCGTTTGGGATACTCAATTTGGAGGGGAAAAAATTGTGCCGAAAGCACAGCACACTTGCTGCGTAGGAACGTCTGTCTCAAGCAGCAGGTCTGCTCTCGGGGGATCAGATGCCCTGATTCCTCCCTGATGCATTCTGGGGAGCTTGCGGTCAATGTGTTCACATTCATATATTTCTGTCAGTCGATCTAAAAGCCAACTATTTCCCTCCCAGTGAAAGCTTCCCCACCTACTCACCCTTTGAGTGACTGGAAGCCATCGCTCGCAACTCTGTGAATCTCAGTCATTTTGATACTCTCAAGCGTACGTCTTGTGCAGTTGTCTGTGCTTGCATGCGGTTCGTATGGTGGCCTCCAATATTCCTCTGTGGATGAGTTTAAGGTACCGGAAACGTAATCCCCAATCGTGTTTCTTCCCGCTGTGCGTTAAGAACTGTGCAAAGCGCTTGAAGGTGCACAAAATACACATGAAAATGACTCTCCCAGGTGAGAGCAAAGCTTCTTATTTGGCTAAAGCTCTATTTTTACTTTAGTGAAGTGAAGAAACAGCAGGGGAAAACTGATGGCTTGGCAACAGTGATTCGTATTTATTCACGTTTTGGGGTTCCCGGTACCTTAAACGGCTGAACGACTAATGCTTGATCAATATTCAAGATATTTAGGACTTCACAGGCCAGTCCTTCCAAACTAGTCCATGCATGATTGTTGTATAAAATCAAATGAAAATGGAATGAAGAATTGACAAACCATATGCTTATCCATCGTCAGTGTTTTAACGCCAATAGATGGCGGTCGACCCAACCAGCACGGGAGCAAAGACATCTAAGGATGTCAGCTTAGTAAAGAGAGCGTCAACTAGTGAAGAAATTCTAAATATAAAGCATGTTAAGTGGACAGGACACGACAGCAAGTGCCTGCCGACCGCCATCTACCTTAGGCGACACGCCATGGATGAGTACTTGCATACAGCCCCACTTAAATAAACATATTATCACTGCATGGGCTTTTCACACTGAAGAAAAACAGAACAGTCCAGTTCCAATGAAGACCACAAACAGCACAAGGCTGAACCGCTGGGTCTCGAGGCCCTTGTGTGTTCCCATGATGAAGTGACGCGTTGTGTTTTTTGGCGAGTCAGCGCTCTGCTCTGCAGAAACCCACAGAGGGACAAAACACTGGTATGGCTGTGTTGCCAAGCTGAGTCAGTCAGGCGCTTATTCACCAAAGGATGCCGACCGCTCCCAGAAAAGCCCCCGCTGAGGGGACAAGAAGCAGTCGCAGCCATCCATCGCCGAGGTCCGAGTCGGCAGAGATTACTCGGCACGACTCCCCGTTTCCTCGGGCGCACACGTGGAAATCGCTGACATGGAAACTGCTCTGATTAGTATTCCTACCATTTCTAATCTTAATTGTTTTTTGGTCACGATAACTCCTCTCTCGCTAAAACTCTTGAACAATGAACCTTGACGCTGACTGCGAGGACAGCAATGGTCGTGAAGAGCTCCCATGATCCCTCGCTCCTCCAGGACGTCGCCAAAGCTTTCTTTCAAAATAGTTTTGCACATGGAGAGCAGCAGAATGTTACATATATTGCATGTAATTGTAATATATTGCTTTCCTACACCCTCTCCAGAAAACCCCCATTCATCTTAGTACAGCACATTCATTCTGATTTGAGGGGCCTTTCCCCCGAGACTCTGCTGCTTCGGGACTGACTGCTCTGTTTCTCCCCCCTCCGCAGGTTAGCAGAAATGGAGAATCGTAACGGCTCTTATCTGAATGACAGTATCTCCCCCAATGAGAGCATGTGAGAAACGCTTCTTGTTCGCTCGCTCGTTGTTTGCCATCCCTCCTCCCTCACTGATTGGCCCGCCATGTGTGTACCGGCTCTGTTGTCTTTGTCCCCATTGGCTGGTTGGACCTCAGTGACTATGTTTGAATGTGCTCAGTATTCCGGGTACGACCCCAGGCGAGGTTTTTTGTGCTCGCGTAATCCTATCCCATACAAACCGATGCACCTGATATCACCGTCACCGCATCTGATTGGTCCTATTGACATTACAATTGGGATATAAATTCATGCAAAGATATTTTCAAACGTAAGTTTAGCATGGTACAGAGAGAGGACGAGGAAGCGCTAGGAGCTGGAAGCGCTTGAGTAATTAGAGCGGGTCAAAGCGGGCCTTAAGGTCCGGTCACGGCTGGCGGTGACATCGTTCTGACGGTTGATCATATCTGCAGTTATTAATCAGACATCAGAGTGTGATTCCTTTAGCAGCTAAGCTAGCTAGCTAGAATAGTTTCACCAGTCTCTCCTGCTACACCGCTTCCACAAAGAAATCTTGTCTGTATGCCGCAATACCCCCTTGATTTCCTATGCGTGGATTACGTTATCTTTTTCTTATTTAGTGACTCGCTAGTTCGCCATGCTTTGTAGCTACGCTGGTTCCAGGAAATGAGCCAAACACTAAATGAGTTTGGTCACAGCGTAGAAAAGAACCCCTTAAGGCCAATCAGTCTGAGCAACACACAGTGGTGATGGTTTCATCTACAGTTAAGACCACGTGGAATCAAGCCTGTATTTAGATTTGCAGTTTGAAAAATACATTAAAAAATGGCTCCGGCGTAACACGTCAACTTTATCTTCAAATGCAGATCGCTTGATGAAGGCAAAAAGACCTGCGGGATATTTTGATCTAGAGCGGAGAGCCACACACCCCCCCGCCGTGACGAGCACATGTCGCTTATATTATTCAGGTAGACTGGCTGGGCTGAAAGCAGCATCTGTAGTCCTGGCCTCATTGGAAAAATAGTTGGCAGGGCTCAATCAAATTGCTCCAAAAACATCAAGTGTCACTTTGTTTTCCTTCTGTGGTGCCGTCTGCTGAGCTGCTCTGTCACTTGCTGATTTCCTTTTTCTTTTATTTCTTGTGCGTGTGCAGCGATGACGAGCACATGTTGATCCAGCACTACTGCCAGTCTCTGAACCAAGGCTCTCCCCTCAGCCAACCCCGAAGCCCCGCCCAGATCCTCATCTCCATGGAGACGGAGGAGAAGGGCGAGCTGGAGAGGGTCCTCAATGACCTGGAACAAGAGAACAGGTCAGTGACTTCCGCTCATCATCATCATCATCACCAGTCTTAAGAGGGGTTTCAGCTCCACGTTCTGTGCATCTAATAGATTGTATTAAGATTGACCTGGGTGATTATTATTAGGGTATAAAGTTGATAATCAAATCCATGCATCCCAATTCATGCTTATGTAAACGTATACACTATTTATGTAAATAAACTGCACTGCTATTATTAACAACTCATTTTATTATCAGGGAACACAATGTAACAGGAAGAAAATATTGAGACGGAACCTCCCGTCCATCACCAATGATACCTCACGTGTGGCCTTAACCCCTCGCCCGCAGGAAGCTGCTGTCCGAGTACGACCGCCTGAAGAAGGCCCACGACAGGAAGGGCCTGTCCCCTCTGCCGTCGCCCCCGGAGATGCTGCCGGCGTCGCCGCAGAGCGCCCGCGACGCCGAGCTCATTGCCGAGGCCAAGCTGCTGCGGCAGCACAAGGGGCGCCTCGAGGCCCGCATGCAGATCCTGGAGGACCACAACAAACAGCTGGAGTCCCAACTGCACCGGCTGAGGCAGCTGCTGGAGCAGGTACGCCGTCGCGTCGCCTTCCCCCGCACGCCGAGACTCTTTGAGGTGTCCAGTGGTGATCCTAGATTCCTTGCAAGAAGTAGACACAGTATCTTGGACGTCACCTATTTGTGGTATTGTGTGTGTGTGTGTCAGACGGATTCCAAGGTGAACGGCACAGCGCTGTCCTCTCCTTCCACCTCCTCTCAGCGCTCCGACTCCTCCCTCCCTCTGCTACGTGTGGCTGCCAGCCAGACTACTGACACAATGGGTGAGAACACACAAGGAAATCCTTTAATTTGTTTTTGTGACTCTACTTCTAGTTTCAGACTTTTTGGAAAGTACCTTGACTTAAAGTAGTCGTGAAGGAATTGTGCCAATGAGTTTGTTTATGAAAATTGAGAGAGAGAAAACGTCTCCTTACTGTTTCAGGTGATGACGAGCTGTCCAGCCCCTCCCAAGATGCATCAGGGTTGGAAGAAGTGATGGAACAGCTCAATAATTCGTTTCCACACAGCCAGGGTACCGACCAAACAAATCCACAACATCCACTCTGTTCTGTTTGAAATCAACTGCATGGTTGAAAGCATTTACGTGTTTCTGAGAAGTGAAGCTTTACTTAAGGCATAAAAGGGGTCAGCTTTGAACTTATTAAAAGCATCAGAATGACGCCTATTATGAACATGTCTAGCTAACTAGCCGAGGATAAAGTGAAAGTAGACGGTTTGAAACTCAGGTTTTGGCCCTAACAAGAGCTTTTCAAAGGTCAGAATCAGAGGTTTGGTTGCAGGACTACGGCTTCGTACCCTCAGAATCAGAATGTTACATATAGAATCATACAGAATCAGGGTCCCCCAGCGGGCTTCGCCGCCTGTTAACCTCATGCTGTATTGAAGCTCACACCACACAACCACAAACTGTTTCCAATGTTTACTGAAGGTAAAAATCGGTTAAGATTAAGATCCGCTGGTCCCCCTCCCGCTCCAATCAGAGCCTCATGACCCCTGCGAGCCTTAAGTAAAGCGTTACTTGCCGTTCTCATTCTCTACCGACGAGGCTGATTTTTTTCTCTTTCCTCCTATTTCTTCTTCCTCTTTCCTCCTCTTCTTCTCCATGAGCCAGCAGGGCGAAGGGGACACCCATGAAAGGTTAGTGGCTTAACTTGACCCCCCCCCCCCCACCACCTAAATTTCCAGCCGCCCTTTTCCACATCTCATTCATGACTTTTGGCTGTTGTAGTGGGTACGATTGTGGCCCCGTGGTGCAGTGACGCGTCTTTTCCTCCCTTTTCATTTCCTCTTCTTTCACACCGACGCCCTGTTCTGCACAGCAGCGAGAAGCGGTGTGTGTGTGTGTGTGCGCGTAGAAACATAGAGCTCTCTATGCATGCAGCGCTACGGTCACGCGCTCAGCATTTGGGGGTCCCCGGAGATTTCGCCACAATTTGATGCGATGAGAACAGTTAGTTCTGAGCCGTGAGTGAAATGTCATCATACAGTGGCTCCTGTGAACTCTTGGCGTTACCTGTGGACTGCCACCATGCGAGCTTTGTACTGCTCCCATGTGGCCCCCCAGGGTGTCCGTTGTGGCCCCATACGCAGACCTTTTACCTCCGTTGAAGGGGTTTTTTCGCGTTGGGGCCGGCGGTTCACAGATCCACGGAAAGAAGTCGGTCCCCACTGTGTATTTGAATCAGAAGCTTTGCCGGAGGTCCGATGTGCTAGTAGCTGTTCTGTGGCGTACTAAACCTTTTCCCCACTCGCCTGCTCTCCCCTTATTCCCTCATTGGCATGTGTATCGTCACATATAAGCATTGTATCATTCTAGTATGCATATTCTATAATGGGCCTTTAATAATGTTCCAACTGGAGCAGCTGGTGTGTTTGTGTGTTTAACCGTGGTGTTGCTGCTTGAAGGGCTTTCCTGTATCATGAGGTTCATACGCGGTACCCGTGGCTCGCCAGATCCGGTGAACGTTGATGATGTCATCAACCTCAGACCCAACGGCGGCTAGATTCCAAGTAGATTTGGGACTCTCCGAGCAAGGAACGAGCCCATGATCCAATTCCCAACGAGCACCCGGGGCTTCCGTAGTGATGTCATCACGAAGCTCCTGCAGACGTCTCGTTGCGTAACGAGCGCGCAGACTTCTACCCGTGCTCACGCTAAACTGTTATGTGAGCATGTTGGGTGTAAGCATTTACTTTCTCTCTCTCTCTCCCTCCAGGTCGCAGCATTGGCAGCTTGTTCCACATGGCCGACGATCTGGGCCGCGCCATGGAGTCACTGGTCAGCGTGATGACACACGAGCAGAGCGCCAAACAGCAGGAGGCCCTGCCCTACTGACCGGACCCTCATCCCCCGCGTCCTCCCTCTCTCCCTAAAAACGCATGCTTTTTTTCTATTCATATCGACTGAATTGGAAAAGTTTACAAAGAGAATATATAACGTCTATTTTTATGAAGGATTGCAGTTCCAGCAAAAAAAAAAACTAAAGAAAAACGTGTACATTTCAGTAGTTTCTTAAAACGTCCTGAAATAGTTTTATTAATAACAGAAGCTGGTTTTTAAACTTCTATGCAATGTATAAAACGAGTACGAGATGGGGTGGGTGGGCAAAGTGAGGTGAGCTACAGATGGGTGTGTTCAGTGCAGTTGAATATTTGCCATCTCTTTGTAATTGCGGGAAAAAAGCAAAAGCATTTCAGATATTTGTATCAAAAAATAGAATGATTGTAATCATAAGGGTGCTTTCTAAGAGGAAAATGTCTTTCGATAACAGCGTACACTACTGTCAAGGCAATGCAGGCATCCTGGATCTTTACAGTACGTTGTCAGTGCAACTGTGTGAGTTTGTTTGCGTGTGCGTTTGTGTGGTCGTGCCTAATTTCCACATTATACAACAGCTTTTTTTCTGCTTTTTGGGGCGGGGGGGGGGGTTGGTCTGACAAACCTCAAAACCTTTGAATTATTCATTCATCCGTCCATCGCTCCATCCATCGATCAGCATCTCCATGGCAACGTGTTTTTGATGGCGGTACTGGTTTTCGGCACAGGGTGCTTCAAATCAAACAAATCTATTTGAAGACTATTTGCCAACAATTGAGCTACATTGTTGAAAAGAGTATCAATTTTTTTTTTTTTTCTCAAGTAGTCGGGGGGCAAGGAATTGGTTTGTTTTTTCTCTCTGTGGAATTTTCTTCCACGGGGGGATTTCCAGCACCCCTTTTAACTTGATTGCCCCCTGAAGGAGTAAAACACTGGATCCTACATTTCCCACAATGCAACTTCAGTGGAACTCATTGATGGCTGTGTTGGGACACTGACCATGTTTACATCCACTAAATCTTCCCTATTTTGAAAGACAGTATTCCTAACTGGTTTGTATTGGCTAATGAAACAAAAAATGTGCTTATATTCCTGTTCCGTTGTTTATCACGTAGGGACAAGTGGAACGTCATTGTTTGTTTGGACTGACTGGTTGTTGGATGTCGTCTCCTACTTTCATCCTTTCAACCACCCTTTTGGATAAACGCTGTGATATTTGCACATATGAAGGAATCCTGTTTATTGGAGTCCTTCGTCTTGCTTAGAAGTACGGTGTGTTTATCCTTTAGGCTTTTGGACACGTGTCGCACTGGGAATGAAAGCCGCGTGTAAAAAACAACAACCTAATCCAAATATTGCCCATAAACATGAGAAATGTTTGCTGATTCCACTGTCATAAATGGAAAATGCTCATTTCATAACATGGCCTAATTTAGAATATCTATAGAAAGTATTTTATTAACATGAGCCAAGTCAAATTTTGAATATTGTCCTAAATAATAGTGGAATCGTGCATGTAAACGTAGTCAGTGATGTGTGGAATAAACGGTCATCTTCTTGAAGCTGCCGATATGTGCGGTTAAAAGAGGAACACATCTCCAAGACTTCCTGCTTATTGCACTTGTACAACTTAAGTGAGGATTTGATCCCAAAAAGAAGCATTTTCTCACCGTCTTAGGCCTGTGGAGTACACACAGTACTCGCAGTACTCCGCGTACAGGAGTACCAGTGGGCCGATCCTCCCTGTCAGAAGTACTGCTGTAGGGAGAAGAATGTGATCTTGAATGAAATGGAGCTCCGTCCCTCAGAGCGCTGACGGAGGAGCCGCCCGAGCCGAATGTTGGGATGCATTCACCGCATCGCTCACCTCTTCTGAGATTCACCCCTCCAATATGAACGTGTAGGGGAATCCGTGCACACTACTGTCACACCTGGGTCATGCTAGACGTTTGTTTTCTGCGTGGAGGTTTTATTCTATCTGTGTCTTTGTCTTTGGTTAAAAATGCTTTTTTTTTTTTTGTGTGTGCCGTGTGATGTGTTCTGATATTAGCATGTGTGACTGAATAAACTCCGATCTTTATTTAATGTACAACCACTCCGGTGCGTGATGCCCTTTGTGTTATCGTATTCTTGCAGCGCGATCGAAGAGGATTTGTTTTATTTTTTGATCCAGACACTGAATTGTTTTTTTTTCTTCATTTCTAACATGAAATAACACGACAATACTTCACAACATATCAGATTCCACCAAATATATGCCTTACTACTGTATTATAAAATGCTTTACTGTGTATCAATAAAGCACGCAGTTATGTTGATTTGAGTTGCCTCTTCGTTTTGTCTTTGTCTTGTTTTTTTCGCGGAATAAACAAAAGAAATTACACTATCCTCCAGTTTAACAGCTCGCTTGACCTCAAGTCTGGAGCAACTTACACACTTGTATGCATGTAAACCCCATAAAGAACTTATTCATTCCCCGTGTGCAAGTTAAACTGTTTATGCGTATATCTTCTTTTTTTTCAAAATTATTTTGACAGAAATGTTCCTCTAAACTTAGAACCAATTGACCTGAATTGTCCAGGTGAAGCACTGCTTTTGAATTTAAACCATCGTTGGAAAATAGGTAGCAAGTATTTTATTGTTTCCACATCCAGACGTCACAGATCAACTTAACGATTCGCCACCAGTGGGAAGGAAAATAGTCATTTGTCACGGATGAAAAGATTTTTAATAGATTTCAACCTTCAAACGGGAAAATGAAATAGTAGAATGCGGCCTTATCTCATTTAACAGCATTTGGACAGGCCGGTAAAACCTGAATTCCTTTGGGTTCCAATTGAGTCCTAAAAAGGAGACCGCTAAAGAGATCGAATATCTCCCGTGGATTTCAAACACTAATTGTACAGTTTTTAAATTTGTATAAGAAAAAACATTTAAAACATATTTATAATTTATTTTAGGAATAACGGGGAGTTAAGGACAGAGTTAGAAGGATGATTCCTTTTCCATCAGTGTACTTAGACAATAAACTATGCGAGGTCCGATAAAAGGTTAACAAAAAGGTGTCTTCTATGCTCATCTACCGAAGAGAAGAGATGGCAAGAACAGCCTCAATGAAGTCTGCTGCAAGTGTTCTTGGATCTTACTTTCCGCTTGGTTTTTCCCATGTAGTATTTGCTACTAACACAAAGCCCCAGATAAGCCTCTAACCGCTGGTGCGTTAAAACCAAACCACGGCCTTTCCTAGACTTGGCGAAATGGTGGCGCCAAGAGACACCCGATGCTTTAATTGGTGACCCCAGAAGGTCCAAGCATCCATATGGGACGAGTTGGGAGCTCTAGTCTATTCTACTGCCGTTTGGATCTAAAGCTCCACAATCCTCTCAGGATCCCAATCAAAGCGTATCGGAAGGACCTCATCCTGTACGCGTAGAGGATCGGGTTGAGGGCCGAGTTGACGTGGGAGAGCAAAATGGCTGCCAGTGTGAGGGACATGGGCACATCGCACCGCGGGCAAAACAGCAGGACGCAGTTGATGATATGGATGGGCATCCAGCACGCCATGAAGAGGAACAGCACAAGAAAGAGGGAGGTGGCTTTACGCGTCTCCTGGCGGGTGCGAAGGGCCAATTTGGCCCCGTTGGGTTCTCCGGGAGCGACGGAGCCCGAGCTGGCAGGTCCTGCCGAGGCGTTCATTGGGCCTGGCTTTGTAGAGGCCGCGGTGGTCTGGGTTTCAACACTAGACCCGATGCCGGACTCCACCTCCGCCCGAGCCCTGTCTCCGCCCTCACATGCCGCCGCCTCGTCACAGCCTGTGGCGGGATCCGCTCCGCTCACCGTGATGGAGCTCCCGATGTCATCCGTCCCGGTGCTCCCGCCGCTCGCAACGCCTCCCGCGTCCTTCGCAGCCCCCCTGGCCACGGCGATGCGTCTCAGCTGGCGGCGCACGGTGACGAAGATGTGGCCGTAGATGACGAACATGGCCACCAGGGGCACAACGAGGCAGCAGAAGAAGTTGAAGTACACCATGTTGTGCATGTCCACCACACAAGTGAAGATACAGTAGCTGCAATAACAGATGAAAGGGTTTGATGGTAACAACACCAAATAAAAACGGCAACAAGTGTGAGAATATACATCGTAATCCAGTCATTGGGTTTGCCTGCAGTCCTTTAGGTTCCCTCATCCAGCCTCATTCGCTTACTCCGAGTTTGCCGGTTGTCTCTTCCAGTCCATGAGCGGCACAGAGCCGGAGATGGCTCCCAGGCCCCAGGTGACCAGCAGGGCCAGCTGGGCATTCCGGGGGCTCATGACGCGCTGGTACTGGAAGGGCAGGAGGATGGCCATGTAGCGCTCTGCTGCGACAGCGAGCAGACTCAGGATGGAGCTCTGCAAGACAAACCAGAGATCGTACGCTGCAAATGGGGAAACACAAGATTTAAAATGATGTGTAGGTCAAAGGTCGGATCAACTCTGTATTAACAGACATTCTAAAAATAATACAGGGGGGGGGGAGTCGGGAAATGATAATGCAAGTACACTATTGCGTTCGATCATAGAAGACATTCGATGAAATGTGCATCGCAGTCCGTTTTCAGACTGAACTGTGCATTCTGACATCAGATGTCGTCCACTAACTGGAACCCCGGAGATTCGAACCCCGGCTCCTCTGTGTCATTGTGTCCCCGCGCAAGACTCCAGACCCCCAGGTCCATGAGCGTGTGTGAATGCTTGTTTTTAAATCTCGATGACAGCTGGCATCTTGCGTGGCAGCCCCCCGCCATCAGTGTACGAACATGTGTGAGTGGGTAAATGTCGACGTGTAGCGTCATACGCTTCATCGTTTATCTGATACTGAAAAAATGTCTGCATTATGAGTCACAAAAAAGAAAATCATTCTCTGGCCCCCCCTGAGCCGCCGCGTTGATGCTCCCACCTACCTGTGTGAGCACCATGAGGAGGCTGAGCAGCACCAGGCAGAGCGGCAGGTCGTGGTGAGGCCGGCCCAGGTCGGTCAGCACCGCGCAGGGGATGGCCACCAGGCCCACCAGGGTGTCCGCCACCGCCAACGACACCTTCCCCCGCACATGCGCACAGAGCAAAACACGTGCTGTCGCTATGCCGCTTGCCGTGTGTCGCGATAAGGGTTCCGCCTTTTTGAAAACGCTTTTCCTCACCAGGAAGTAGTTGGTGACGGTTCGCAGCTTCTTGTTGCGGGTGACGGCCAGACAGACCAGGAAGTTGCCGACTATGGCCAGCAGCGCGATGGTGAGCTCGGTGGCGATGTACAGGCCCTTGGTGCGGGGCAGGTACCCGTACGGCATCTGGGCCGAGCAGCCGCCGGGGGTCACGTTCATGGTGGGAGGGACACCGGGACGCCGCAGTAATGGAAAACAACCTGAAGATAATGGCAGTGTTTTGAACCATTTGTAAAGAAGGTCTCAATGAGAGAGTCCAACGGATCTTCCACTTCATTGAATTTGCCCGTCGCCAAGCGAGGTGGGGGGGGGGGCGGTCCTCGTTTACACAGCAATTATCTGGGCCAAAGCACATGGACGGAGGGAGCAACGGTGGTTGTTATGAGGCTTGGCGTGCGGCCTTTTGTGCCGACCAACTGAGCAGTGAAAATGGTTCCTGATAAGGGACAAAAACAACGACACAGTCCCAGAGAGTTCACTATTTACACGCACTAATAGGGATTCAGACCTGCTGGTTGTTGCTCTACCCACATGTGAATAGACACTATATATATATACATATTATTAAGTAGATCCTCATTTCCCTGCTATGTAAGCAATTCAAATTATGAAAATGTAATTTCGACAATCAGCCTTGACTTATTAGAAACTTCACACAATTATTGGTTTTGCTTCCCCCGATGTGTGGTTCTAGTTTGGTTTGAATCACCCTCCAACATTCTCCCCCTTAATCTCAGTTCTACCTTGATTTCCCGCTTGATATGTTGGTAAAGTAATCATTTTAGTCCAGCCCAAATTTCTCATTGGGAATTTCCAGAACCAACATAACAGATGGTGTGTCGTATTTAACAAGCACTCCAGTTGCTTTCTTCGTTGAGCCAAGAAGTGCTCAAAGAACAGTTTAATAACATATGCCAATCCTGTGCATTTATTAATAGAACAGTTGGTCCACAGAAAGTTGATCAAGACTTATTGGATCATTTAATTAATCTCATCACGCAATGAAGCCGAACTTTGCTAAAGCCAAATTTTAAAAAGTGAGAATTTTCTGCTTTTCGACTAATTCGACATTTTATGTCTTCATGTTGGTCGTATAAAACAATGCAATCTTGGGTACTTTGTAATCTCTGTTGGGAATATTTCCATATTTTAAAAAAAGAATTGCAAGTTGCATTCTAAATGATATTAGGGGTTAACTCTAATTAGTTTTGTTATAATGCAGACACATTTTGTAGGACCATGACCTATTCCCAATAACTGCAAAGGATCTGCAGCGTTTCCAAACCGATATTGAAAAAAAAAAACACAGATAGAAACATACAATATGCAACCAGCCTCCCAAGTCCGTTAGAGAGAAACCAAGACGAATTCCTTACTGAGTATCACTTTCGGTGGATGAAATACTTCAGGTTTTGTCCACATAGAGCACTCACCTGCACTACAGGATTCAGGTGCAATCATCACAAAGTTTGCATGGTCCAGACCATCCGGGACACTGATACGATGTGAGGCCGAGGGAGGAGGCGCATCAGAGTGCACTGATGTGCAGGACGAAGCTGGGAAGGGAGCAGGAGGAGCACCACTTTTCCCTCCATCCCTCTCTCTGTGTAATAAAAAGACGGTGCAGAATATGTCAATCACAAGCCTGTTTATTGAACAGCAGCGGTTGCCACAGGGGATTTGGATCTGGGTGAAAAGGAAGAGCAGATATGTTTTGATGTAAATCTCCAGCCGGTAATGGACACAACAAACATATTGTAATATATGTTCAATTGTGTACAACTAACCTGCGTTTTCATGTGCTGAAATACTTCATAAAAGAACAATTAACGCGTAAGCCAAACGTAGAATATATGTTATGCCGCTAGGAAACAAATGCACAACGTGAAAAGTATTTTAAAAATAAATGTAAAAATGACAAATTTTCAAAAGTAAAATCACATAAGTTTTGTACGATTAAAGACTGAATTTATGTGTAAGTTTTTATTGATGTAGTTAGTTAAAAAGTAATTTTCACAATTAAACCCAATTGTTTAGTTATATTATAGCCATATATGTGTACTGTATGTGTGTCTTCTGTGTATATGTATCTTTATTTCCATTTTACACTGAGATTTGGTAGGAATTCTTATTACGCACACACGTGTCGTGTACGTTCCCACTCCTCGCCGCTTGGTGTCGCCCAAACGCTTAATAAAACCGTTCAAGGAAAATAAGACCAGCTCGGTCGTTTATTCATCCGGACAGCAGGGATTTTCTGATTCACTTAGTTCACTGATGAACACAGCAGCAAGTATCACGATTTATGCAAACAATACCTGATTGCTCTCTAGTTATTGATAATACAAAAATGCGCAAAATAATGAAACGCTTGTAGAACCCTTCCGGCTTGGCGCCGACGTGCGCCGCGTGACGCGATGACGTTCGCTTGTTTTCACGTTCCGTGACGCCGGACCCGGTAGACTGCATGTCACGTGACTGCACCATGCTGGTGATTTGTTTTTAGCCTTTAGCGAAACGCTGCCTTGAGTCACCGGGATCAGTTATCTCAGTCAGAGGTTGACATTCAGTTACAGTCGCGTGATATGGTGCGTTATTCTCTGAAGAGGCACGCGTTGTAGCCAGTCAGCTTCCGACAGACACACGTTTAGTAGCGTCCGCGGGCTGAGATGTCAGGCTTCAGCTCCGAGCTCATAGACTACCTGGAGGGGAGGATCACCTTCGAGGAGTTCGACCAGCGGAGGGATGAGCGCAAAGCCACGGTACATCACACGTTATTAGCAGAGCTAAGTTAGCATGAATATTTAGCTAAGGCGACGTTTTAAATCCTACTCATTTGTTTCATGTTGGATTCGTCTGTTAAGACTTTGCAATGACAATTATTCTGAAGTGCTTTATCAGTCCACTATTATGCTTATTCTATTAGACATGCATTGTTTGTTGTCAGTATCACATAAACTCGGTGTTTCCTTTCCTCCAGATTACACCTGCTAACCCCCCAGCTGGAGCTAAAGCTAAGCTACATTAGCATAGATAAAGTTTCTAGGTTAAGTTAGCTGAGGCGGCAGTATAGCCGTTTACGTCTTAAACATGTTTAACTCCACACATGTTTTTTTTACACGTAACTACGTCCGTTATTGTTAAACTATAATAGTCTAATATTACACTTGACCAACAATGTGCATTGTTTGATTTTGCTAAGCTAAGATAGCATAGCTCATACAGCAGCATCCCACTACAAAATAGCTTTCATGTGTCACAGGAATGATCTAACATTCCTCTAATGGAGATCTGCATCGTCACACACAGCGGCATTCAGGAGGGAACGTGTCTATGATCTGCGTGGTTGCGTAGATAACGTGTGTCCGTTGTGTACCGTTGTGTGTTGTTTGTTCTCTCAGGAGTCCGAGGTACCAGCTGACGGTGTGCAGGAGGATGCTAAGCCCTCCACATCTGCCCCGATCCCGAGTAACGTTGGTAAATACGGTCTGTCTGACACATCGGGACCAATTACGTTTGTTTAGGAAGTGGGGTGGGGGGGGTGGGGCGCTGTCAGGATCTTTGACCCATTTAAAGTATTCTTTACTTTCCGTGAGTGAAATCTGGTATGTTATTGTTTTCTGCAATATGAAATTGGGAAAATATCTGCTATTGATCTCATTAGTTCCGACAAATTATCTTGTTTTTTTTAAAACCTTTGTTACATGACTTTAATATTGCCTGACAAACAAATCTAGATATTAAGACATTAAACTCTCCTGATAATAATAGTACTAACAATACATGATGATAATCGGGAATCCTTGTTTGCAACTAGGCAGAAAGAAGATATGGTTCAGACAATTCACATTATTATATGATGTTATTACTTTATAAGTGTTGATGACATCACTTGACAACACGCTCCCCTCCTGTTAGAGGAGGGAGTCAGCCCGGGAGTCCAGCAGGTCTTTGCCTCCATGCTGGCAGACAGGCCGGAGCCGCCATCTTCAGACGAGCCGGAGGAGGACAGCCTAAGCTATGCTGATGATGATGAAGATGATGAGGACTACAAGGTCGAGGAAGAGGAAAAAGCGAAGATGGAGAAGGTGTTGGCGAAGAAGAGGCTGAAGCTGCGGGGAAAAAGACGGAGGGGCCAGAAAAAGAAAGCGCTGGAGGAAGAGAGCGAGGATTGTGCAGCAGAGGACCCAACGGTGGGGGACGTGTTTGCCCTGGAGATGGAGCTGAGCCGAGAGAACGATAAAATGATGAGGGTGAGGAGGAGGAGGTGTGGGGGTTGTCAGCCTGTTTCCCAGCTCTTGATATATGACAGTTTGACTTCATGTGTGTGCGTGTCCAGGAACGGCGTCATCGAAGCAAGCTCCCCCGAGCTCTGAGAGGCTTGATGGGCGAGGCCAACATTCGCTACGCCAGAGGAGAGAAGGAGGACGCCATCCTGATGTGTATGGAGATCGTAAGACAGGGTATGTAACCAAGTCCTGCACGTTTCTGGAGTTGCAACTTGCAAATGAATAGTCTTCCCCTTCTCTTCCAGCTCCTTTGGCCCATGAGCCTTTCTCCACATTGGCCATGATCTATGAGGATGACCTAGACATGGACAAGGCGCTGCAGTTTGGTCTGATCGCAGCCCACCTGAACTCCGCCGCCTGTGAGGAGTGGATCAGACTGGCAGAAATGTCTCTGGAGCAGGACAACATCAGACAGGCCATTGTCTGCTACTCAAAAGGTCAGTCTGACACAATTTCACTATTTTTAGGAATTTTTTAAGAAAAAAAAAAAAGATATATATTGTATAAAAAAATAAATATATATATATATATATATATATATATATATATATATATATTATTTTATAAAACAAAAAAAAACAAAAATACTCACCGCCCACTATATTAGTCACAACATTCCTCAGAGATTTTGGTCCATATTGACATGATTTGTCGGCTGGACATCCATGATGCGGATCGCCCGTATCTGGTGGCTTTGGAGGCCATTGGAGTACAGGGAACTCATTGACATGTTCAAGAAACCAGTTTGAGAGGATTGCTTTGTGACATGTCCTGCTGGAAGTACCCATCTGAAGATGGTACATTGTGGTCATAAAGGGATGGACATGGTCAGCAACAATAGGTAGGATGCAGCATTTAAACGGTGCTCTATTATTACTAAGAGGCCAAAAGTATGCCAAGAAAATGTCCCCCACACCATTACTCCACCAGTAGCAGAACCGTTGATACAAGGCAGGATGGAGCCATGCTTTCATGTTGTTTATGTTGCGCGCGCTCATATTCCAAACCACTTTCCTTTAGTGGCACAGTGGTGGACCTCTGCACACTGTGTGCCGTGCAGAGTAGAGATGGAAGTAGCCAGGCAGCTAATAACATGTTCCTGGCACTATCCTGAAGTGGTCCGTGTGCCACTCAACGTTGCTGGTCCACTGTAGTCTCAATATGTTCTCTTGAGTGACTTTGGTGTTTTTTACAGGGTGAACTGGGGGGGGGGGGGATGTCTAAGCACCTCACCATTCGGCCCCTAATCAGAGGGCCACAATGTGCAATTAAAACAGTATTGATTCTTCTTCTTCATGCAGCAAAAATATTTCCATATGTGATTTATTTATTCCCACTGGCTGCTTCTGAAACACTGCATATTGGTAATGATTCATTGTTAAGAAACAGACAGATCAACTTTTTTTTAAAATTTTTTGTAACAAAAAGTAGATGTGTTACATTTATAAATGAAAATGAAATGGCAGCATCCATAGGACCAATTTTCAGTGGGTTCGGAATCATCTGACATAACAAGCTGCCGTTACACATAAACCGATGATAAAGACTTAATTTGGACCAAATCCACCTGTTAATGCGCATTCAGCGCTCGTACAGAAATGTGCTTTTTAACGGCATTTGTCTTTGGAATGCTCCTCTCGGCCAATAACATGTGACCTGATGGTTCTTCTCCACCACTGGGTGATAACTTCTGCCCTCGATCCACAGAAGCAGTCTCGCACAGCCTCGTCCGTCGGTCGCGTTTGTCCTCCTCACCCCTCACCCCTCTCTCCCGCCGCAGCCATCAAGTCCGACCCCACCAACGTGCGCTACTTGTGGGAGCGCGCCAGCCTGCACATGCGCCTGGGGGAGCACAAGCAGTGCATGGACGGCTACCGCAGGATCCTGTCGCTGCTGCCGATGGAGGACGGAGAGCACTTCATGCAGCTCTCCAAGGACATGGCCAAGTAGGGTCAACTCGAACCTGCTACACACACACACACACACACACACACACACACACACACACACAGTTTCATTCATACCATGTGTGTCCCGCTTAGGAGTTACTACGAGAGTAACGACTTGCCCTCGGCCCTCGGTGTCATCGAGGAAGCTCTGGAGCGACACCCCAGCCTGGTCAGCGACGACTTGATCAACATGGCAGCCGAGCTCTACGTGGCCAACCGGCAGTACAACAAGGCGCTGCAGGTAGAAGCCGGGAGCTTGTTCCCGTCCCGCCAGCAGTGGTTACACATCTTCCTTAAATAAGTGTTGTTGTCGTCGTAAAAACCTTCAATTTCCCAGTAATTCATCACACTAAAAGTCCCCCGTTATCTGTGCTGCTTGTTCCCGCTCCATCCCCATATTAAGCTTCACCTGTATCATTTTGTAACTAGGTGTGGCTGTCGAAAACACTACTTACTATGCAAAGCAGTACATTTTGTTTTTAGATGCCATAGAAACTGTAGAATTTAAACTGTTTGAGTTCTACATAACAGCTAACCGTTGTTCCTTCTTATAACACGGGTGACATTTGTCTTGTATAAAGTTGCCTGTGAATATGAGATGTGAGTTAAATAAATCCTGGTCTTTGTTTAAACGAATGTGTATTTTGTGTGTTTTCACAGGTCTTGGTCCAGTTTGCAGGTATAGTTTTGGAATGCAATGAATCCACATCAGGGTGCGACAGAAAACAACAACAACAACAAGAAAAAGAAGAAGAAGAGGAGAAAGCCGGAGAGGAGACCAATGAGACCAATGAAGAAGACGCAAAGACTGAGGCAGAAATTGCTCTTAAAGACAACTGTGAGTAAATCTGAAAAAAATGTCCATCTATATGCAGATATTTCCCTTTTATTGTCACAGACAACACGTCAATCAAGAGTGAACTGATTAGGTGTTGTAGGTAAAAGGTCAATGTCACCTCAAAGAAACCGTTTGGGCCATAACTGCTTGGCTAAATATGACAAATGTATTTGGGTTAAACTTTTCTGTTAAATTCCCACGGTGAAGCAGGTTTTCTAACCATCAGTCTGTCTCCAGGTGAAATTAAAGATGTCCTTGTACCAGACAGCACCCCGGTGGACCTTAGGGCCAAGCTGACTGTCTGCCTCATACACCTGCATGTCAACACACCCTTGGAGGTAAACAGAATTTTAAAAAAAACAAGCTTTTTTGGTAACGGAAAGTGGTTACGACCCCCGTTCCGTCGCTCTGAACCCCCCCCACCCTCTCACAGGGGCTGGTGTCATCGCTGATGGAGCAGAGTCCGGATGAGATCGGTGACTTGTACCTGGATGTGGGCGAGGCCTTCCTGGACGAGGGCGAGTACATGAGCGCTCTGCCTCTGCTGTCGGCCCTCGTCATATCCGAGCAGTACAACCTGGCTGTCGTCTGGCTGCGACACGCAGGTAGTTAAAGAGTCAAATATCAGAAATAATTAACGATCATTTCTGGCCTAAATAGTTTAACTGCGAATGTGTCCTTAATCTGATGAGATACTGTGTTCATTTGAAGACCTTATCCATTGCATATGGTTCCTATGAACTGAAGAGTAGAGTTAAATTGAACATTTTAGTTAACGTCAGGATCTCTGGAAGCATACTTCTCTGTGTGTGAAACATTTCATCTGGTCTGCAGAACTGGATTTAATTGTGCTGTATGTGTGAAAGGGAAAACCCAATGTGCAGCCTTTGTGACTCGCCCCACGCAGAGTGTCTGAAGGCGCTAGGCCACATGGAGGCGGCAGCGCAGAGCTACACCAAAGTGGTGGACATGGCTCCGCAGCACCTGGAGGCGCGCCTCTCCCTGGCCACCCTGCAGCAGCAGCTGGGCCGGCCCGAGCGCGCCCTCAAGGCCCTGGAGTCCATGTACGACAGCGAGACGCTGGCCCAGGACTCATCGGCTGCACAGAAGGCATGGGCTATTATTATTATCATTATTATTATCATTATTATTATTATTATTAGTGTGAGAGTCACAGGTGACTTTGTTGACATAACAGACAAAAGATTTCTGGTGTTAAGCACACCTCTAGTGGTCAGGGGGGACGAAATGGAACGTTCGGTCTTATAAAATGGTCTGATCCACTATTAGACACCGTATGAGATCAATAAATTAATAAATATATATTTTTTGTTATTATAATGCATGACTTTTCCTCTGATTTGAGGGTTTGTTTTAATGCTTATTTCTTTTACACGCTGCGGTTGTAGGAATTGAAGCTGCTTCTGCATCGTTCCACACTGCTAAAGACTCAGGGAGAAACACAGGACTACCTGGACGCTATGATCACAATGATCTCCATGCTACTCAAGGTACCACAGTCTGACCCGTGCACACACAGAGGGGGGGTGGGGGGAGGGGGTCGATCTAGGTCAGGTGTCAGCTTTTGCCCCTCTGTCGCGGTTCGTGCTGAGACTATTTGTTAATATGGTAGGTGTGATTTAATGTCTCGTGGGCGTCCGGTTGGATTTTTATCCTGTAGGCCAAAACTCTCACCTCGTTCTGTTCTTAAACTTGAGTAATGCAACGTATTCCTGGATCATAAAAGGTTATACAGAGTATTTTGTTAAACGTAGACTTTAATGCACCATCCATTCTCCCTGTCTCAGGTGGCCATGCAGCGCGCCATGGTGTGCGTGCGCTCTGTGACCGTGTCAGGCAAAAGTCACCTGAGGCTGGTGAAGGCCACCCTGCCAGAGATCGCTGACCACGAGGCGGCCTACCTGGACAATACCGGTAAGAAGTGTGCGTTATCTGTTGGCGGTCTGCCTTAACGTCCCGGTGGGGGATTCCATAATGTAATATGTGATCCGGTCTGACTCGAGGGATATAAATCCAACCCCTCAATTTTGGTTTGACTGCTGCAAAGGGGGCGGGACTTGGACTTAATCTCAATAGGGCGCATGTAATGTAATGTAAAGAGGACGGTTGGTTGTACACGCAACTCCCTCACCAGGGAGGGGTTATCTGCAACTCAGGTAGGTATTTACAGATGTTACCCCCCTCCCCCTCCCTCTGCACCAAGCTCCCTCCTCCAAAAAGGGATCAGTGGAAATACGCCGGTTTCACTTTTCTCTTGATTCCCATGTAACAGAATATTTTGAAAAGCCTACAGCTAATTCACTTTATTTGTATCATTAACTGTTCTTTAACTTTGATAAAGTCGTCTCACATCTGCACACGTGTATGTGGTCGTCCCTCGTGCCCAGGCAAGACCAACGTCCTGTCCAAGGAGGACTGGTGGCAGCTGCTGGTGAGCTGCGTGCTGACGCTGTGCGACGTGCGGCGCTACGAGGAGGCCGAGCTGCTGGTGGAGTCCGCCATGGAGTTCTACTCGTTCTACGACAACAAGCCCCGGAGGAAGGAGATGGAGTGCTTTGGCCTGTCCGCCACCATCCTCGACCTCAACCACTACAAGGCCTACAACTACATCAGGTGGGCTCGCTCCGTCCGCTCCGTCCGCTCCGTCCGCCGGGGAACCGGTCGCTCACCGTGGGTCGTTCTTGGGCGGTTGTTGGAAACCACAGCGTGACTTGTCTGTTGTCCTCTTCGCAACAGATTGATGCTGATGGAATCTGTGGATCGGCCTCAGCTTTGGAATATTTTCAACCAGGTCTGTAAATAGATCTTTTCATTAAAAAAACAACCTCCTTTAATCGCATAGGGCGCTACTTTTAAAGGGACGATTTGGATCTTTTGAATTAAAGTAAAGCACTGGACGATATGTTTAAAATGCCCTGTTTATTTATAGTTGAACGATTGTTATCACCATCTAGATTTGGTAACACTCAATTCACCAAATTTGTCAGCTATTTCATATTGAAATCAATTAACAATATCGTGTCAATTTTTGGATTGACTTTGCGTAGCGGATCTACTCACTGAGGTAATCAAATGAGTACCATGATAGTGGTGAAAATATTCGCATGGTACACTCCTTTTTTGAGCTGGTCTAAATAATTTTTTGCTGCTATGTGTCCTAATTGTTTTTTCCGCCCCCCCCCCCCCCAGCTGACCATAACCTCCCATCACCAGCGTCACCATCGCTTCTGTCTACGTATGTTGTTAAAAAATCCCACCAACCTCGCCTTGGGCTTCCTGTGCGGTCACAACGCACTGGTGTCGGGGAGCTTCAAACACGCACTGGGTAACACGCGCACACACACACGCACACACACACACACACACGTCCGCCCGCTACAACTGACTGCACTCCTTGTTCTGTTTTAGAGGATGGAATAATATACCTGAATATATCCTGGTAGATTAAGTACAAAATGGTTTAACAAAACAGTGTTGCAGCCATAAGTCTATGATTTAAATTGAATTTAACTAAAAAGTATTTTTTTTATTCTTTAAATGGGATTTGGAATCAGGAATTGGGGATTCACCGAATCATCAGGGAGATTTCCAAAACCTTGTGAAGGAAAAAGCTGAAAGCCATGATTGTTTTAGCCAGCAGGCCTCCCAATTGGTATTTATCCAACACATTTTGTGTGTCTACAGGCCAGTACATCCAGGTCTTCCAGAACCAGCCCACAGTCCCACTTCACAGCCTGTGTGTGGGTCTCACCTTTATCCACATGGCCTCTCAGAAGTATGTCGACAAACGGCATACGCTGGTGATGCAGGTAGTTTATTTATTTGTGTATGTGTTGTTTGTGTATTGTGGCGATCACATTAAATTAAACCAGCACTACAGAGCGTCACACTTCACTATCCGTCTCCGCTCTTCCTAAACGCCTGCGTCTTTCAGGGCTTCTCCTTTCTGTGGCGGTACGTGGACCTCCGCGGAGTGTGTCAGGAGACCATGTACAACCTGGGCAGAGCGCTGCACCAGATAGGCCTCACGCACTTGGCCATACATTACTACAAGGCGGCTCTCGACCTGCCGGCTCAGAAACTAGAGGTACGCATACATGTTTTGTTTTACTTTTATTAAGGGAACGATAAATAGACCTATATTCTACAACTTTTTTTTTCAGGGTCTCCCTGATGATCATGGGGATCTGAGGAGGGAGATTGCCTTCAACCTCTCTCTCATCTACCAGGCCAGCGGGAACATGGGGATGGCCCACCAGCTCATAAACACACACTGCATTATTTGATTTATAAAAAATATATATTTTTACATTGTGAGTACATTCAAAACTGGATGAAATTGGTGCCTTCAAAAAAAGGGCAGGACATTTTATTTATTTATGAATAAAACAAAACGTAACTATTTTTAGATTGATAAAAGCCAAATAAAATTGGATATTAATTCAAAAACAAATGAAATGATGAAAGTGAATCAATTTTTTACTGATTTTTCTTTGTTGATGTATGTTTTAGATGGTACTAATTTCACTGTTGGACAAAAAGTCAAAGGATCCTTTCAGCCGTATTGAGAGCTGGCTGGTTTTTATACATTAGTTCAGCAGTCCTTTGCTAGTGGATGTAACATGTTCTAATGTTTGATTCAATTGATTGTACATGTATGCACAGCCCTACTTTGCAAAAATCGACTTTTTTTTTAAACCATTAATGTCGTTATAACTAATTTTGTGAAGATGAACTATTTATGTAAATAAATTGTTAATTGATTTTTATTTTTTTTTCTTTCCCTTTTTTTTAATTTGAGGTGCCAAAACCCCCCCGAATTGACAGACTTTTCCTTTTGTTGTTGCTGGGATTTATCCACTCGGATTACTGGACAAATCCCTCTTTTCTCCCATCCGAACAGTCTGCTTCCATCGGGTCGCTGCGCTCCATCTAGGGCAGGGGGGGGGGTTGTTCCCCCAGTCACTGAATAATGTAAGCAGCAGTAATATCGTTCAGAAACACAGTGAAGAAACTCCCAAAAAGTTAAATGTATTTAATTAAATTACAACACAATTTGACTGTGTATTATTCTAACACTGTAATCTGTCTGGGTTTAGAAAATAGGCTAAAGGTAATATTATATGTCAGTTTGTGTGCCCCTTTGTCCAACGACCCCTTTTTTCGAAGGAACCGCAGGTTGGGAAACCATGATCCATAAGGGGAGGAGGGCAGTTCTCGTGATGCTGAGCTCGGTCGGCGTGGACTTCCACACCGAGGCCTGTCTCTAAACACGCACAAATAAAAGGCGTTGGTGGGGGGGGAATCCTTTTCTTGTGACCACGCGGGTCGTGAATCGCTCGCGCCCGGCAGCGCGTGAGCAGAGCGGCCGAGGAGGGGAGCGGAAACCGGGCAGGCGGATGTGAAGCGGGTCCAGACACATGAATAAGATATGAACGTTCTAACGCAGCCTGGCAACATCGCGGACGACGCCATGAGGCGACAGACCTGGCAACCGTGATTCCCAAATCGGAATAAAACCACGAAGCGACGCGAGTAACGGGAGCTTTTGGCGTCACTGCGAGCGGAGGCTGGATCACCGAGGTGCGGTGCCGCTGCGCACCGGCTCCGGAGCGCCCGACCCCGGCCTGGCAGCCGATGACGAGTCGGTGGCGTTCGGGCTATACGGAGGTCCGTCGTCCATGATTGAACGACTTCTTCGGGGGTTTTCTTTTTGAGATACTCGCTTGCAGGTGTGGCGATGGACCACGTTTTGAAATCGCGTCATCAAAGGTAAGCCGTGTGCCTCCCGTGGATCGGTGCAGTCTGATCGAGGTGTTGCGACCCCAAACCCCCCGCGCCCCCCCACGGGAGTATTTTATCACGTTTTGTTTCCTAATAAGCCATTATTCATTACGCGTGTTGGTGATTGTGACATCCTGCTTTGATGGACAGCGAATGGGCTCCAGTGACAAACACGGCCTATTAATAGAAAACAACAACAAAGACATAATCAAATCCACATTGTGACGCCCCGCTGGCACGAATGACCAAAGCGCCGTAAAGAAGGCGAGTCTGACCGGAACTTGTGTTCCCACAACCGGATCGATACCAGCTCATCTCCTACTGCCCCCCGGTAGCTCCACGCAGGATGTGAAAACTAATTGTAATCTGCGTGCAATAGCCCACAGTGGAGGCCGGGGGGCATGTGATCACGTGATGGAGAGGGCAGGTCAACTAGCTGTCACGAGCAATCCCCCCCGACTCGTGGTTATCACTGAAAACTGATAATAGGATCCATTATTTTGGCTGAGCAGGGTCTCGTTGAGTTCTCAGTGATTAATAAAGGAATGCTGGCTCAGATTCGTGTGGGGGGGGGGGGTTATGCATCTTATTCTCTTTGATGCTTGAACATGTAGTGTCAGGATCATTTCAGTATGAGATCTGCACACTTCCATACACCACACCCCCACTGACGGGAGGGCCTCAAGTATCCTGTGGGTTTCTTATTTAGCCTGTTTCTAGTTGTTTTTCCTTGTTGGATCTTTAGATCGGGATGTAACGGAGACTTTCACAAATATAAAAGTAGACGATAGTGAGCCTCCACAGCGAGGTGACACACCAGTCGTTCTTTTGGCTGTTACTCCGGCACTGAAGAACCACCGGCACAGGAATGTGAGGTCCGCTTTGGGGACGGGAAGCTGTCGCCGTCTGGATGATCCACCTCATTGTTCTCCAGGCACGCTACAGCTATTTCAGGCCTGTGTGTGTGTGTTTATCCATGTGTGTCCAATAGTGGTCCTTTCTGTACAAGTGGGTCAGCCGTCTCCACTGTGGCTCCACTTTTTGGGGATTTTAATGAGGCTGATACAGCTTCTTTTTCTGTGTCATCATATATTTGAACCTTTCCCGATGCAGCTTTTAGGCCTGTGACACTTATTCAGTCCCGTAGCATTATCTGCACGGACGCGCTACCCACGGGCCGCCCCGCCTAGTAGGGGACAACGGCGGTATTTGGATTCGGGGTTAGAAGGCCCGAGATGTTCCACCTGCAGACATCAAGTTTCACAGGAAACACCCGAGGGTGCAAGCTCCTTCTGCCCAGCATTCCTTTGTCTTAAATCGACATGAAAGTAGAGTCAGATCCAGTTGTGGGTGTACATGGATTACTCCCAGTGCACACGGCCCGTCTGCTTAAACCCCCCCCCCCGCGCTGCGTTGACATCAGCATCTGTTTTCACTGGGTCGTGTGTATATTTAGTCGCGCAGTTTCCCGTTTATAAATAACCTGCAATCTAGCGTGCACTTATGTCCCAGAGCTGAGGGCGACATTTCCAATACGGGGACGGAGGGTTCAACATTAACAGGAAACGGTTGTCCCGTTGACAGTAGAGCAGATGATAAAGCAAGGTATGTTTGGTCGTCTGGGCTACCTTGTGATTGACAGGCCTTCCCCCGGCCCGAGCCTCACGCCAAAAAATGCTGAATTGGGGGCTTCAAAAGTGCACAAGTTCACACACACGCCATGAGCCTTAGAAGCGGCGGGACTGTGGGGAATCGGCTCTGTGACCCCGTCTACACACCCTTAATCCACTTTATGCCTCTGTGTGTGTGTGTGTGTGTGTGTGATGGCATTATCAAGGTGCCGCCTCCACACCGCCTGCCTCCTCCCTCTGAATTCAGCGGGCTGCATGTTTGTAGTCCCTCGAGGCGGAAACGGGACACGACATTCTTCAAGGGGTCATATTGGGGGGGTTGGAGCGTCTCTGATAAGCAGACTTTCCTTCCGCTCATCATACAGGAGCTGTGATCTCATTAAATGGAAATACTTGTGCAGTAAGAGATGCAGTATTAGGAACAGGTACTGATAGATAAGGATGGGGGGGGGGGTGACATGCAGCAGAGATCAACATGGGCAGTAAGGGCTCAGCGTCATGTGACCTGGTACAACTCACAAAGGCTCGGGTACGAATTCAATTCTGAAGGATGAAACTTCTTGAGAGAAATATCTCGCCTCCCCGCCAGAAAACATGGCTGCCCCGGTTCCAGCGGCAGATTGAAGCGGATTAGACGGGGCATTCTGTCAACCATAAACGCCCCCCCCCCCCCCCCCCCTCCCCCACTGAGGGTTTTAATCATGCTGCTGTATCGCATGATCCGCGTGATCCTGCGTGTGTTTTTGACTGGTGTTTCCTGAGAAGGAGAAAGTGAGCGGCTGTGGAAGACGGTTACACAGACACCCCGGATCATTTTACCAGCGTGTGATGTGTGTGTTTGTGTCTGTGGGTGTGTGGCGGCTATTTGGGTACAAGTGGCTTTAAACTCGGTCAGCGGCACTATTCTGAACAGTGGCCTCCCCCCTGAGCTATTTATAATCAGTCCAGATGTGTAGGAGGGAATCTGCACGCGTGTGTGACTCTGTGCTTTTCTATCCCGGTATCAAAGTATCATAAACATGCTTATCAACTAGATTAGTTTTGTATTTTGTTATAGTTGATGTGTGTGACCAAAACCAATGCGATTATTGGAATGTGCAAAGCACTCACACACAAGATCAAGCCACAGAAAAGAGCCCACAAAACACACGAGCCCAATATGATCAGCATCTTCACACATGAATTCACTCCCAGACGACGATGATGTCATCAGAGAGGAACGGAGCTTAAACAAGTGGTCTAATAACCACGGATGCTTTTGGGAATGACATCACTTTACACCTGATTCAATCACATTTAAAGCTGCAGGACTGCTCATTTAAATTCTAATTCTTTGTTACATATTTTATTATTTATGTATTTAGACAATCCCCTTCTTGTAAAAACTCTCATACCAAATAATCTCCAATCTTTATACAAAAAAGGTATGTTTTAAGCTGTAGTTTTACTACTAGAAAAGTGTTTCATAAATCCTTTGTTTCAGCTCTATCCAGCACAGATCACCCACTTTCCACCCTTCTCAGAAGAGAAAACGGCCTCTTTACAACCAGTCTTCAGCACAGATCTTTCTCAGAGTTACCATTTAACCTACTGGCCCAAACTTAAACACAAAAACGTAACACGTGAGCTGATTTGAAATACTTTTCTAAAAGCACCAGCTGTCCTTTTATTCCCAAAGTAAAGAACGACATGGTGGCAGGATACTTAATAAAGCCTTAAGGGACTTTATACTGTCCAGGAGGAGAAATCTGTGTAGTTGGCCAATCAAATGTAATGTTACATCAAATGCAATTTTGAAAATCTTCATTTAAAGAGTTACATATCAACCTCATCACGTGGTAATAAGTCCGTGTCGTTTTTACAGTTTGCCCAAGTGGCTGAAACGTCTGTGATGCCGCTTCGAGTCTAAACATTTGGGCATTTGGACGTTTCTTCTTTCGCCGTCCTCCAGCTCCCTCATCAGCAGCATGACGCACAGCTAGTTTATGAGCTGCAGGGGACGGCGTGTAGCGTGTGTGCGAGTGCACGCCCATTCACTCTCCTCATGGCGAGAAGCCGTCGGACCGACGAGACGAGTGGCGAGGGGGCCGAGCCCCCGCTTGCCGGTGTAACCGTGAGTGCATCCGGTTGAGAGAGAGAGAGAGATCAATCAATCGAGACTTTAAGAAGGACGGAGGAGGATTGTTGTCTGTGTTTTGAAAGATTGCCAGGATATGGTTTCATTTCTATCCACTGGGTAAGTGGAATTGAACCCGTTGACCTGTGATGTAGCTGTGTGGAGATATCTTTGCACACTCATTGTGTGAGTGATGAAAATGAAAAGGTCTACACTTTTCTATTATCCGGGCCACGCTTTAACACTACATGTCGTCATCATTCAGCCCATTCACACCCAGTCATTCACTGGGTGTTAATACAACAGTTTATGGCTATTAGGAATGCTTTTAAGATTCCGTTTTCTTCATAGTATCTTGCACAAGGGCTCATCGATATGGACCAGCCGGGGTTCGAACTACTGATTCTCTGATTGAATGACGACCCAGCTCCGATGCTTAGACCCAGATATTAATGTCTATTAAGATGATAATGATGGAATCATTTCTGTTCTCAAAGTTAGAATTTTGCAAAATTGTGTTTAAAATGATACACAAGCCATCTAAAATAGATGACTTGTGTATCATCAACTTCATCTTGTACTTAAGTGATGAAGATAAAGGAACTATAACATGCTGAAGTTACCATTGTAATTCTGTTTATGGATGTAAAGGTGAACGTTGTCCCACTGCACTCAAAGCCCCGCCACAAAAAACCTGACCATCGCTCTTACTTTTGTCCTGTTGTCCCCTTCCATCTTTCTAACTTCTTCTTTTTCCCCTCTGTGTCTCCCTCACTTTCATTCTCCCGATAGGTCTTCCACCTCCTACCCCCCCTCTCCTCCCCACGGATCATAACGTCGTCCCGCCATCCAGACAGACAGACCAGCAGATGGATTCCCGGGTCCCATCTCATCCTTAGCACCTTGTCTCACCTTCTGGCTGCCTTCTGCTCATCTTCCATCTCCACCGCTTCCCGGTGTCATAACTGCTACCTGCATGGTTTACAAGCTACTTTAGGGCCCTCTCACACCAACACCACCACCAACCCCCCTTCTCTCTCTCTGGCTTCTTGCCCCCTCCCTTTCCTGTCCCCATCTTTCCTGGAAACCATGGCGATGGCCGCCACTGCCAATGCCTCCTCCAGTCCCTCGTCCCCGTCGTCCTCATCCTCTACCAACGGCAGCGCCCGGGAGCACCTGCTGGCGGTGCGTCGGCGCACCCCCCACACCCGGCCGTACACGATTGGCCCGGATAACCTCCGCACCCTGTCTGATCAGGGCCCGGTCCAGGAAGCGGGAGACGCTGTACCCTCCTCCCCCACTACGTCGTCAGGGAGCCAACAAGAAACCGCGGGAGTTGGGCTCCAGCGGGCCAATAGCGACACAGACCTGGTGACGTCCGACAGCCGCTCTTCACTTGCGGCGTCTTCGTACCAGCTGACTCTAGGCCACAGCCACCTGGTAATCTCCTGGGACATCAAGGAGGAAGTAGATGCCACCGACTGGATCGGCCTGTACCACATTGGTGAGCAAATCAGGGGTTGGAGGGCGGGAGCTTTGCTTCCACAACCGTGTGGTGGGTCGGCGGGGACATGGTCTATAATAACCACCTTATAAGCCTTGTGCTGTGTGGCATCAATAAGATGGCCAGTGCAACACACACACCGCTTCCATTCGCATGAATGTCTGCACCACTGCACATCATTATTGATACTGGCAATGCTAACGTTAGCCTCAGCTCTTCAGTGTGCAAGACTAGCTGCCACACAGCTCAGAAACATGTTGGTCCTGAAACTGGCTTTTTGTGGCTTGGTATCGGTTGGTAATCTTCTTCAAAAAATATATATACACAATAATTATTATGTTCTGATAGCAAATAGACAAAAATAAAATAAAAAGCAGAATGGGTTTGGGCTATCTGACCCGGCGGCACCGCTTACAAGCATTAAGACTAAATACATTTCTCTCCGATGGTCATAGAGATGCCTCAGTTTATATTTGCAAATACCATCACCAGTTTGTCACAGTGACTTTTACCTATATTCCCTAAAAAAGAAAGGCAACAGCTAGTGATGCTTTACTATTGATAAGCTACTTTGCGCAGCGTGCTAATAGTGTTAGCTTACGCTAAAGCCGACAGATCCACTGTTTAATACATTCCTTAGATTTTCACTGTAGTCTAATTGATGTTAGCAAATTAAAGGACCAATTGTTGCAGCACATTGCCACAACTAATTGGTTTGAGATGCTCTGTTCAGCAGTTCCTGCTTCCCCATTGCTGCCTCGCAGCCTCCTTTTCTCTCCTAGATCCATGTTTTTCTCAGTGCATCCGTGTACCTGCCTGTCGGTCCACTTGTCTGTTCTGCTGTTTGTCTGGTGGTGTGATGAAAGGTGCAGTAGGATAACAATACGTTAGCGATCCATCCTTCATCAGCCCCACTTCTGCGTCGTAAACCGCTTAATGGATTGTGTGCTTGTGTTTGTGTGTAAGATTGCAAAGAGCAGTTTGTTTCTTCTCATGTTACGTTTAAATTTCAAGTATGTGGTGTCATCCAAGAGTGATGTGTACAAGTGAATGACCAAAAATAATCCTTCAAATGTTCATTACTTGCAATGATTAAACTGAATTCAATTAGGTGAATTAGGTCAAATATCACTGTTGCCTGACAAAACATGTTTTTGGCAATAACTCAGGAATTGAGATGCTGATTTTGTTCATTCCAATGTGGACTCATATCCTCACCGGATGAACTTGTCTGGTAAAAGCTGGAGTCGGTGAAGCCCTGCAGGTCTAGGTCCCAGGTGTGAAAGAGTAGTTATATGCAGCAAATGTACTACTGTATGCGCCATTTTACAAAAGCTAAGGTCCTCTCAGGTGACCACAAGAGGGGTATTACCTGGGACGATCATCTATCTGAAATAGAAAGTCGGTGAAGGAATCCCTCTGTTCAATCAACCACTGTGCAGCTCTTTGATTGTATCCACTTGTGTAGGGGGATTTCTTTTTGGAGCAGCCTCCAGAGTTCTGTTACCTCACCCCGCCTTCTGCTGTGTGTGTGTGTGTGTGTGTGTGTGTGTAGGTCCGCCACACACCACTCAGACTGTGTTATTGTGTGAAAAGGGGCAGTGTGTGTGGATGAGGAAGTTGCTGTCACTCACCAGGTTGATGGAGTATGCTGGTGTGTGTGTGTGTGTGTGGGGGGCAGGCGCAGATCAGCATTGATCCATAAGGACACTGACCATTTGTCACAAGATGTTCACATACATGTTTGGTGGTGTATGACCTGAGCGCAGAGCATCCCTCAGGAACCGGTAATTGCGTCCTGGTTTTGTCGCTGGAACATGCTCGGTAACCTCTTGTGAAAATGTCCAAACAATACAAACTAATAACACAATGTGTGGTGGCGGGCGTGGTTTGGCCCGGCTGCAGAGGGGACGGTGCCAGGTGGAGGCGTAATTGGACTCAGCTGCAGGGAACGGAGGTTTTGTTTGTCTCCCCATATTTCAAACACAGTAGTGGCGACCCGGCGGCAGGAGAGACGCCGCCAGACCAGTCATCTGGACGCCGGGAGCCCACTGACTTTGAATAAGTGTGCAAAATAAAGGTTCTTTTAAACCCACCTGCTGTGTACATCCTCATTCCGGGACCCCCCCCACCCCCAAGGATCAACCCCGTTACACAATAGTTCCTAATCTTTCCTTTATTCTTGTGTCTGCTTCAATCCCCACGTGACACATTTCAGTCAACCGTACATATTTAAGTTCCCTTCCATCAAGTGTCAGGCCGTAACTGTAAGAAGGCCCCCCGTTCCCCTTCAGGGAGACACTGGCCTCCGCTCAGGCAGCGAGCTCTCTGAAGTTCGCCCTCTTGGCACAGTTGGCAAGACTCCAAACTCCTGCCTCTTCATCACCAGGAGAAGATGTTATAAGAGCTCCATGTGGAGGACGCGCGATGGAGGCTGTGTCACACGTCGGCTCCAATAGAAACGGCACATTGTTTATCTTTGGGACCGACCGGTGGATGTGTGTTTCACAGATGAGACGAGCGTGGCCAACGTGTGGGACTCCAAGAACCGTGGCGTGAATGGCACCCAGAGAGGGCAGATCGTGTGGAGGCTGGAGGCGGATCCCAACTTCATGGAGCGTGAGTGGACGCCGTTGACGCTGGGTTTTGTCTAAAGGGGCATTGCGACAATGTCTTTTCAGTTTCAGACTAGTTGTAAAACGTCTTCAGAGGATACGGAGGAGCAATGTCTGGACTGAGAGAACCACCGTGACAATGTCGTAGTGACGTGGTCGTTTGGGCCTCTGTTCTCTCCACAGCGGAGACCAAGATCTGCTTCAAATACTATCACGGCGTAAGTGGAGCGTTGAGAGCGACGACGCCGTGTATCACCGTCAAGAACCCTGGAGTGCCGGTACGTTGCTGTGTGTCCCGGCTACATCTCCCTCCGGTCCCTCCGGTCCCTCCTTCTGTCCGTCACCTCTCATTTAATTATCCCGCTTTCATATGCAACTGTCACAGATTTCCTAATGGTACATTTAGACCCAAAAGCAGCGCAAATTCAGGCTTACTCGCCTGACTATTTGTAGATTATTTGCCTTATTTTGCGTCCCCTTCGTTTGGGCCTGAAAGGGGGCGTGGCTTATCCTTGTGGCTTGTCCCTGTTATCATTTCCGCTTTCCACCATGGAAGTAACCACTATCTCTGTTCTGTCCTTTTTGTGGAAATGACACACATTATGCGTAGCATCACAACGCTGACGGGTTTTCGCTAGATGGCGCCGGGCAATTTATTTTGCTGCGCTTCCTCCGCGTCGAGCCATTGGGTCATTTCCGCCGCCCGTTGAAAATTTGCTTTGTTGGCAAGCTTTTACGCCTGTGTTCTCATGCCAAACATTAACTCACTTTAGACCCCTGGTCCTGTGCCCGTCGCAGTCAGTGATGCATCCAATCGGGCCACAGGCATTGAGAATAGGTCCTACGATGAGGTAGATTTTGTCGTAGGTTAACTATCTGTGATTCCTCAAGAGGGTTTAAAAATAGGGCGCTGTTATCTCCAACCTACACAGTAACTATTTACAACAGGGGTACCCACACGTTTTTGGCTTGCGAGCTACTTTTCAATCGACCAAGTCATGGCGATCTACACCCCCCCCCCTCTAAATATGTGAAATGTGAGGGTTGCGGTCATAATGCTCCCCTGTTGTTTGATTCCTCATCAGGTGGGCGGAGAAGGCCAAGCGGAGGACCAATCAGTGACTGAGCACTGTCGTAAACTAGTCAGCTTCACCTTATCTGGTATGAGGACCACGTGGTATTCAGTGGTGTTGTGGTGCTCTCGTAGTCCAGTACCAGATTCTTACAATTGCTTATAAATATGTGTTTTTCTACTCCAGACATTCGGGCCGTGGGTCTGAAGAAGGGCATGTTTTTTAACCCGGACCCCTACCTGAAGATGTCGATTCAGCCCGGGAAGAGGAGCGGCCTCCCCAAGTTCACCCACCACGGCCAAGAGAGACGCTCCTCCATCATAGCCAACACCACCAGCCCGGTGTGGCACGGCGAGGTCAGCGCAAACACACACAGACTAAAGTGGCGTGTGCACAGTGGGGTGTGAGTGGGTCGGTCTTTGGGGTTGCAAAGAGAGGGAACATTTACATTTCGGGGAAATTTCCCAGTTGTCATTTTATTTTAAAGAATCTGTCATTAACCGGTTAATGCCTCGGCATGCTAGCCAGTTTTTGGTCCTCTGCTCCAAAAATGGCTTACCCATGGTAGAAAGTGTACACTGGAACTACTTTGTTTGTCTGGACATTTCTTTTCTGTCAGGATAAAGAGGAACCGCTGTGAAAACCACCTGATTTGTCAAGAGCACCACCATTCCAAAAGTTAAATCAAACATGACTCAGGGCTCAATTTCAATCAATAGAGTAAAGGAAATATCTGATCCTATGATGAATGAATGTATAACCTAAAACTTTAGTTAGTCACTGAACTTAACCGTTACTACAAAGAAGAAGCAAGTGGCAGCGCATGAAAATAAATCAACATACATCACTACCATGTATCCTTTTATCAGTGCAGTTCTTTCCAAAAGCAATTTAAAGTGTTTGACAGCTCATTATTGTGCTTATACCAGGCCCGATCCGCCATAGTGTGTATTTAAATGATGACTTAATTAGATTTGAATACCTTTTTTGATGTTCTGTAGTTTCACTTTATATATTTTGAAAGACTACAAGCTTCTGTTTCCGAGCAACAAGGAAGATCTCTAATGGGACATTTTTTATTTTAGCCTCCTGTACTACACTACAAGGGTGAATATGTCATGTTTCATAACGCTTATTTTCATAATCTGGATTTATACTAGAACGTGCTTAGAGGTTCAAAAACTGCTGTAGTACTGTTACAACAGTTAATCTAGTATTACCACTGAATAACACTGAATATCTTTGGTCTCACATGCTTGCGTGTGGAAAATTTACACACACTAAGTGACTCGTAAATGTCCACATACAATCAATACATCTATACTATATATCGTTTTGGGTTTTTTTTTGCAACTCTTGCAGAAATACACCTTTGTGGCTCTGATGACTGACGTGTTGGAGGTGGAGGTGAAGGATAAGTTTGCCAAGAGCCGACCAATCATCAAGCGGTTTCTGGGTCAGCTGATCATCCCTGTGCAGAGGCTTCTGGAGGGGCCGACCACTGAGTGAGGCTCCACACGCACGCAGACACACACACACACACACAGCACGATTCAATGTGGGTGCACATCTATGAAAGATTTTGAACGAGCACTCAAGCATGTAGAAAGCCTCCTCGAAGAGGTCGACGGTCATCTGACAGTCGGCACTTAGCCACAGTGACTCCACATATATAAGTCGATACCGATCAATACGTCCTAATCAGCTCATGGTCGAGGCACTGATATGATATTGATCCGGGACGGAAGGCGGGATGTACTCTGACGAATCATGTTTATAGCGTGTATGCAGATGTTTCTAGTGGTAGAAGGTTGGGTGAACTCCTGGGGGACGTGATAGAGACATAACTTGTGTGCGTGTGTGTGCGCAGCGATCAGCCGGTCAGTCACAGCCTGTGTCGTCGTCTCCCTACGGACCACGTGAGTGGGCAGCTTTCCTTCAGGGTGGCCGTCACCTCCACAGGACATGAAGGTGTGTGTGTGTGTGTGTTTACATTGTACTGTTTGGTAGTCATGTGAATAAGCAGCACACACATCTGTGCACTGCGTTTTACGCGACCAAAAATAGTTTTGACTGTCAGTAAATGTGGGAATGCATGTGAATGGGTTAATACATCTGGAGGGGATTTGGGGGATTTGCTGTCAGGTTGTGTTCAAGCGACAAATTCAATTTACGATATAAACCTCTGGATATGTTAAAGTAATTCCCTATTTACCCCATTGGATGAATGGATTATTTCTGTGGCAGAAACATATAATATGTTTCAACGTAAAGGCTTTGAGTGTTTCTTTTTTTCCTCAACAGAAGAGGAAAAAAACATTCCCTGTCTATCGATCCATGTGCTATGTGCTGTCCGTGGCCGACATCTGTTTTTACCAGATGGCTCCCACGGTTCTGTGCTTATCCCTAATCTGTTATCCATCCTCTCTCTCTCGTCCCTAGAAGCCTCCCCGGAGGCTATGGGAGCCGTCTTAGGGGCAGTGAACGGTGACTCTGGGAGTCCCTCAGACGACGAAGACCTCCCTCACCAATCCTCCTCATCGCGCGGTGCATACAGACCTTCTCCAAGAGGCCCAGATGAAGGCTCCAGGTTGGTCAATGGTCCTTGTTACTATGGAGACGACAGCATTTGGCGGGAGCCTGCAGAGGAGGATCTGCTCGCTGTGTCCCTGGGCTGCCACACCCACCGGCAGGTGTCTCTCAACGACTACCTGGACACCATTGAGGCTCCGAGGAGCCCTGGTGAGCGACCACACGCGGGGCCTTCGCCAAAGCTCCGCTCCAGCTTTCCGACAGACACGCGGCTCAATGCCATGCTGCACATAGACTCGGATGAGGACGAGGAGACGGCGGGACAGCACAGGGAGACACCCCAGGAGATAAGGACACAGGACAGCACAGACTCAGCCTTATCACAGAGGCGGGCTACTTCTGAATCTCCCCAGGGAAATGAGGGTTCAGGACGGAGCGGAGCTGGAGCCGGGGCCACAGCAGAGGCAGGTTCCTCTGCCAGGATTCAGCCTGGAACAGAACCGGGAGACGAGGCTACAGAAGCACAGGCAGGAACATCGACAGCTGCTGAGCCTGCAGCCGGGACCGGAGCTGCACGCGTGACCGGAGAAGCTCCCACTTCCACTTCTAGCTCGTCTCAGGCATCGGGGACTGATGTACAAGCAGCAGCAGCTGGGCAGGTGGGGGCTGTGGGCGAATGCACCTGTCAGCAGCAAAGCAGTAGGATGGGGGCAAACCAGGAGTTACCGTGCAATATCTCACTGGGTCTGCTTTCCCCCATTCAGGTGAGCAGCTGTAGTTTGGTGGCTAAATGCTACGTGACTTTGAAGTCAGTTGGACAGAACCTTTTTGAAAATCTTCCTCTTTGCTCTCTCTTCTCCCCCTGTGTCCAAAGGAGGTGGAGACCAGAAAAGAAGTGGCTCCGAAGGCAGAGGAGGAAGGGGAGTCTTCCAGCAGTGAGGCAAATGGACCAGTAGCAGCACCTGCTCCGAGGAGCAGCATCTTAGCTAACCAAGGAGGAGGGACTTCTGATGTTGGTAGGTTCACTGTTCATGGGCGCAGTATTTCTAACAATAATATAAAATTGGTCAGTCTACACGTGTTACCGAAAACCACTTTGGATTACGTTAGGTATTCAGCCCCCAATGAAGCCTGGTTGCTGAACCGCTGCCACATGACAGCGGCCACCTCTCATAGAAGTCGTTATTGTGCATACTTTTAAATCTTAAAATCATTCCAATGCAGTTGTCCCGAGGGGGGAAATAATCTAAAGCGTCTTTGTGGTGGACTTTAAACACTGTTCTGCATCTGGTAGGAGCGTGTTTAGTTCTCAGCAAGTAGAAAAACAATATCCATATGAATAGTGAGGATTCCACTTGGTTGCTCAACACACACAACAACGTGTGAATTACAGGAGCGAGAGGCGGGGGCGGTCGGGAGGAGCAGGAGGAGGGGGAGGTGTGGAGGAGGAGGCAGTCAATGCAGACCTTCGGAGGCACGGCCCAAAGCCAGGAGGCGTGTGGGGCCAGAGGCAGTCAGAACGGAGCAGTGGGGGTGGAGAGAGACACAGGTGAGATACTCGATGCACACGGCTTCTTTTGCCCTATTTTTCAGGTTAAAAAAGTTAAAGGTTACTAAAAACCCGATGAATATAATTATTTTTATTTACAGGGAAAATGTTGCAACAGGTGCATTGATAGTATAGTAGCCGTACTGGAGGTCTTTAAAATAGTTATTGAGGAAATCAGGGATTTTAATCATTTCCTTTAAACATTAATATTTGTCATGCCTCCCGTGTCAAAGGATTGAGCATTCAGGTATTAGTAGTTTTAATGCAGAGTTTTTTTTTAGGTGGTGATTATGCATGACCATATATTGTGGGTGTGTGTGCGTGCATGTGTGGAGAGTTCATGCAGAAATGAAAACTCCAAAGGAAGGAAACATGAATGCTCTCAGTCTTAATAAGAACATGCGCTTCAGTCTCTGGTGGCTGAAATGAGTATTACAACAACATTGCTTTTCAGCTGGAAAAACATTTGTCCCCAACCTGCAGTGTATTTTGAACCCCTTTGGGAGAAGACAGAAAGTGGGTGCATTCTTTCTTTTCACGTCACGTTATTTGCCGGGACCATTTGTGGTCATTCGCTAGATTCAACGGAGAGGGGGAGGGGCTTGTCTCTGTGGGAGCCGTCATCAAATTCCACCCACAACCAATAATGCACTTTTGTGTGTAACGAAGACCTCTCATAATGGAGCGGTCTGGTTGTGCTCATTGGCTGTTTCCTCAGATATAGTTATTGAAGGCCGAGCCTGTGGCAACAAAGCTATTGTTAGTCGGCTCTTTCTTTACTAATATTATTTAGGTCATAGACTGCTGGGTGCTGCAGTGTCAAACAGCAGAGGGGTGTAAGCCAAATGGATTTCCCTGTTTGAAGTTTGTATGATCTCTATTATTATGTTAGTCTGGATTTTCTTTTTTTTATGTCAAACTTCTGCATCTCCATCTGCAAGTATAACCATGCTATTGCTTCCGCTCTTTCTTTCAGACTGGGAGGCTCGTATTGACAGCCACGGTAGGATCTTTTACGTGGACCATGTGAACAGAACCACAACTTGGCAGCGTCCCACCGCCCCCCCCGCCCCGCAGACGCTCCAGAGGTCCAGCTCCATTCAACAGATGGAGCAGCTGAACCGCAGGTCAGATCACACACGGACACTCCACTTCTAAAGCTGTAAAAGCATCCCGCAGAGTCCAACCCAACATGCCATTAGCTTGATTAGTTAATCCACCACCATGGCCGACAAATACACTCCTTTCCAGGTATCAGAGTATACGTAGGACGATAACCAATGACAGCAGACCGGAGGAGCAGCCAGCTAATGAGCTGCTGGCAGATGAGACTGACTTGCAACCCTCCACACCAGGTAATCCTGTCTCATGCTGCATTCTGGTCTATGCAGTCTGTAAAGCATGACAACAGAGGAGTTTTGTCTGACTGTGTGTGTGTGTGTGTGTTGCAGAGGTGCGTAGGGACAACGGCGTGGCTCAGTCTAGTCCCAGGTCTCGCCTCACTCTACTGCTTCAGTCGCCCAGTGCGAAGTTCCTCACCAGCCCCGACTTCTTCACTGTGCTGCATTCCAACCCTGTACGGGCAACACTCCTCTTTCTCCTCTCAACCAAACCACTGCCCTTTTTCCCAGACGTCCATGTCGTACGGCACACACTCAGATTGTGATCTGGGGATTTCTTTTTTTCAGGAATAGCAAAACCTTCACCTCTACCTGTGTTGACCAGACACTCGTTAAACGACCGCGTGGACATTAGTGGGGCTAGAAAAGGAGCTGGGTTATTTATTTGTGTATACCCATTGTCGACCAAATGATCACCAGCGTTAATACATTTTGACCGGAAACGGATTGAAACAGCATTTCATCCAGTATTTGTTGAGACATTTCACTTTAAAACAACCAGCAACCGCTGATTGTGAAGCGAGGGCTTTCTAATGGACAGCAGGGGGGAAGTCTGGTTGAAAAACACACTTCATTCATAGAGAAATAGACCCTAGGTCTCACTTAATTTATTACAGTTTGTAGTTAACAATCTTTATAGCTAGTTTCAGATTTTTCTTAAAACCAACATTCTGGAAATGATCCCATATAGGTTGAAATAGACGATAAATCAGGGTGTGCTTTAGGGTGTTTTCCCACCCTTTCAAAGAGTATATTTTCCCCTCATGAAAATGTTTTTTGTATTTAGCTCCATCCTCTTGTATCACTTCTGGTTGTGTGAAAAGCTAAGATTACCATGTCCGAAAGCCAAGATGGCTGTGGCCATATGCAACACCTGAGGCTTCAGAACCTTGGTTCACACGCCAACGGGTGATGTCATTGTGACTCCGCCCACTTCAGACTGACTGACTGATGGACCATCACTCGAGCCGTACCGCTAGCAGGCGTAAATAGAGTGGCTGGTTGGTGGGGGGGAGGGGGGGCTTTGAAGTACATTGGGAAGGTTCATTATTCAGTAAATAATTATATTTATATATATATTCAGAAGAATCTTTCTCTGGTGGGATGTTTCCCCTCTATTAACTCTCCCCCGTTTGTCTCTTGCGTGCCCAGAGTGCCTACCGTATGTTCACCACCAACACGTGTCTGAAGCATATGATCAGTAAGGTTCGCCGGGATGCGCACCACTTTGAGCGCTACCAGCACAACAGAGACCTGGTCGCCTTCCTCAACATGTTCGCCAACAAACAGCTGGAGCTGCCGAGAGGCTGGGAGATGAAGCACGACCACACCGGCAAGGTGGGGGCCACGCGCGTCTCCACATCTGTGTCAAAGATGAATAACTCGAGGGTTTTGGATACAGTCGCAAATTTGGGTTGAGAGCTTTTAGGCTGATGCAGATCTCACTTGATTTATTGGAGCATATGGTTGTTTGCAGCCATATAAACGATCTGAACGCCCCTTGTTCCATTATAATGGCGACATCCACTTTTTGAAGCGGCAGCCTCCATGTTGTTTTTTAGTTTTGCGTACATTGTTAAACCGGTGTCCAATGCCTGACTGACATGTCTCTGGTGGCGTGCACACGTTCAGTCTTTCTTCGTGGACCACAACTGCCGGGCCACCACCTTCATCGACCCCCGGCTCCCTCTTCAGAGCACTCGGCCCCCGAGCCTCCTGGCCCACCGCCAGCACCTGACTCGCCAGCGCAGCCACAGCGCCGGGGAGGTCAGCCCGCGGCGACAGGTGAGACGGAGGAATCCCGCAGCTTACAGCGGTTTGAGGCGGAGAAACCCCCCCCCCCCCCCTTCCCCTTTAAAAAAAAAAATATCAACCTCCTTGCCACTCCCCCCGTAGGTTGGCGATGAGCCCCGTCGCGCCGGCCCGCCCGTCCTGCCGCGTCCTTCCAGTACCTTCACAACACCCAACAGGGGGCAGTGCCCAGACGTCGTGCCAGTGGGTGAGTACGCGCGCGCACACACACACACACACACACACACACACACACACACACACACACACACACACACACACACACACACGACCTTTTGGGAATGATTGGCGACGACCTACATGAGTGCGTTCGCTTCTCCTTCAGCTTACAATGAGAAGATCGTGGCGTTTCTTCGACAGCCAAACATCTTTGAGATTTTGCAGGAGAAGCAGCCTGAATTTCACAGGAACCATTCACTCAGGTATGCACACCAAACCAGCTACACCCCAAGGTTTCGCCAGCATGGGTATTGAATGAATATTGCTGTGCCATTAGGGAGAAGGTGCAGCTCTTACGCACAGATGGAGGTTCAGCATTGGCCCGGCTGTCAGGGGATGCTGATCTCGTCATGCTACTGAGGTGGGACCTGTTTCCTTCCTCACTTACTTTCTTATTTCCTTCCCTAAGTGTCTACATCCCTCCCATGATTTTTGTTCCTTATCATCTCCCTTACTTATTTTCTTGTATCAGCTGTGTATCACCTTCTCATCTATCATTCCTAACTTAATGTAAACACACTTTAGCCACTCTAATGATGTCATTCACTGTCTCTCCACTCCAGTCTGTTTGAAGATGAAGTGATGTCCTATGTGCCTCCTCATGCCTTACTTCACCCAAGCTACTGCCAGTCACCCCGGGGATCCCCCGTCTCCTCCCCACAGAACTCGCCCGGTAAGTGAACAGGAAACTAATTACACAAAGATGTTTTATTAGATCGGCCAGTAGTTTTTCTTTCATAAATACGATCGGAATCACGCCCTGCTGAAGTAGCAAAACGCAAAATCAAACCACAAGTCCATTTACATTTTAATTTCCTATTTTCATTGTGCCTAGTTATTGTTGCCGCGCTTATGATTGGACAATTCATTTTGTAAATAGGCTATTAGCAAATGGTCTAATTTTCCTCACTATAACTTCATCAGTGTAAAAAACATTTATTATCACCACATTTTGAAATCTCTCAGAAAACATTAGTGCATCATGTAGAATAGCCTTTTCCCACCATGACAGTAGGGGGATAAATGAAATATACCTGTGAGCCGGGGAAGGGGATAATAGAAACAGATGCAGCGTACAGGAGAACATGGAGAGGAGTGATAGTGGCAAAAAGAGGAGATCACATGGAATTTAATTCTGGACATCATTTACTGCTGCAGTGGTCTAACACCCCTCCAAGATCCCGCTGGATGGCTTAAACTTTCTTGAGCGTGTTTGAGTAAAGTCTTTCGCTACAGCTTCGAACTGCCTGTGCGTTTGTATTTGCAATACGTTGGTTCCCAAACACACACACACACACTTCACATAAAGCAGAGTACACAACTTCCCTGTTTCTCCGCACCTGTAGGCACCACGAGGGCGAACGCCCGAGCCCCAGCGCCCTACAAGAGAGACTTTGAGGCCAAACTGCGCAACTTCTACAGGAAACTGGAAACCAAAGGCTACGGCCAAGGACCAGGGAAGCTAAAGTAGGTGGAGCGCTCTCTCTTATGAGGAGAGACCTTTCTTCCTCTTGTTTCCTCTGCATGCGTCTGTTCCACTCGCTGCTCGCTTACTCGCGTTTGGGTCTCAGGTTGATCATCCGCCGTGATCATCTGCTCGAGGATGCCTTCAACCAGATCATGTGCTACTCCCGCAAAGACTTGCAGCGCAGCAAGCTCTACGTCAGCTTCGTCGGGGAGGAGGGGTGAGTAGGAGGGACCCATGTTTTCAATACACTCTGTTTGTTGCAAAGTGGGGAATTTTTCCACATCAATTTATGGCGGTAATGTCTTCATTTATGTAAAGGGAAACATTCGAATTTAAACATGATGTAAAGCTACTTTCCAATATTTACTTTCCTATAGATCAGTTTCTCTTTTATACCTGTTTACTCTTCCCTCCTCTTTTTTGTCTTTAACCTCCCTCAAACGCACATATTTTATTTTTTCCATAATGACACATGAATTCATTTCATTTACTCAAAAGTGTTTTAGCAAGATGTTTTCTGCTGTTTAAAACTTTCTACACATTCAAAATATTTTCCACGTCCTAAAGGTTCAGGAGTAGATCAAATAACAGAAAACACTTATCAGGCATACACTGCCTGCTCACTTTAATTTGAACACGGCGGCAGCTATCAGGCCCGTCCCTCCTGCAGAGGACCGGGCCACTGGACATGTGAAAAAACCCGATGGGAGGGAAACTGCTTGGACCGATTACGTCCCCGGTGGTGTGCTTAGAACATGTGCCACAGCTTAAATCATCACTGACGTTTTCTACATAGGAAAGTGTTGCCTCCTGCTTCAAGACTCCCACCGTTGCCTAAGAAGAGTAGTGGCACCCGGCTCGCCATTGTTTTGATAAAGTGCATTCAGACAACTGCTTCTCCATCGCATCAAAAACTACTACAACAACAATCACAGACAGTCCAGAACCTCACTATTTGGCATACAGAGAGACAGAATGCTGCATGTCGACTTAGAGTTTGAGGACCTCACCAACAGACCCCACAACTGCTACCACGAACATAAAGAGAACTCCGTTGTAAAGTTTGTAGATGCTGCGCTGATTTGTACGTTTGGCTGGCAGATTCTTTAGAAAACCTGAGCAGCATCTTGGTTCCCAAACATCATCGTTTCACTGAGCTGTACTCTCTGTTTTCTATTTCTTTAAGTCTACTTTGATTATAGTTTGAATCAGGCGAAACCCCGTAATATATACATTTTAGACGCCAAATCATCTGGTTCTGGTCTGTAAAGAACATAAATGACGGGCTCAGCAGACAATGCTCCCCTTCATTCACTATGCGATGTGTGCAGCTGATATCTGAGTATGTACCTTGCAGGTTGGACTACAGTGGGCCGTCCAGAGAGTTCTTCTTCTTGGTTTCCAGGGAGCTGTTCAACCCTTATTATGGTCTGTTTGAGTACTCTGCGAACGACACCTACACCGTCCAGATCAGCCCAATGTCCGCTTTTGTAGACAATCACCACGAATGGTGAGGTTTAGTGTTCACACAGACACACACACACATACACACACACACGAAGCTCAGACGGGATCTTTGGTATCCTGATCACTTTAACTTTGTTAATGTGTGTGTTTTTTAGGTTCCGGTTCAGTGGTCGTATTCTGGGTTTGGCTCTGATCCACCAGTACCTGCTGGATGCCTTCTTTACCCGACCCTTCTATAAAGGCCTACTGCGCATGTATGTGTGTTCATCTGTTTCATTGACCAAGGTCTCAAAGCGCGGCATTTAAAAACAATTTCAACTCTCACCTCCATTTAATAATAGATTGCTTTTTATTATTGATACAGGCTTTCTTCTTCGTTATGTTAGGGGCTTTCCTTTGTTTTCTACAGCGCTTTCCTGAGAAGTTTGATTATTTTTAACTGAGGCGCTCGGAGGACACGTTCTGTTTGTTGGCTTGAGTTGAAATAAAAGCCCCAGGCAGTATGTGTTTAATGCTACAGTCCCACACACACTCTCCCCCCTGTAGTCCCTGTGACCTGAGCGACCTGGAGTACCTGGACGAGGAGTTCCACCAGTCCCTTCAGTGGATGAAGGACAACGACATTGAGGACATGCTGGACCTCACGTTCACCGTAAATGAAGAGGTCTTCGGACAGGTCAGGGTCTGAGTGCTCAGCAGCACGCACACACACACACACGTAATCACACTGTTCTATTGCCGACATCATGATCACGTCATTTCTTTATACATCTCTGAAAGACTTCTCCAGTATCGCGTTACTTTACACCGTTGGCAGCTGTTGCCAATGCTCTTATTGACAATAGTTCTTTAGGACAGTTATGACAGACAGTCCTGTGGATCGTTGACAATTGCGTGTCTGCACGTATTCAGTGATCCTCGTATTTCATATATCGTACGAGCAAATGAATAGAACTTGTGCAGAGTTCTCATACCCACGACCACCTAACACAAACATGTCCAAAAGAGGGTCTCTGTGTGACAAGGTGGAGGAGAGGACGTAATCACATTGTTAAAACACTTGAGGACTTTATTTGTGCCTCTGTGCTCGCTGCAGATAACAGAAAGGGAACTGAAGGCCGGTGGAGCCAACATCCCAGTGTCGGAGAAAAACAAGAAGGAGTACATTGAGCGGATGGTGAAGTGGAGGATCGAGAGGGGGGTGGTGCAGCAGACCGACAGCCTGGTCAGAGGTTTCTACGAGGTACGGATTGGTTTGACCTCCTCTACTCTAACATTTCCCTTTCTTCATGCCTGGGACTAAATGGATAAAAGTTCAACCTTTATACTTATTGCTGATACTTTTGACTTTATTCTATTTTGTTGCTTTGCGTGTTCTCTAGGTGGTGGATGCCAGGCTCGTATCGGTGTTTGACGCGAGGGAACTGGAGCTGGTGATCGCCGGCACGGCTGAGATTGACTTATCCGACTGGAGGAACAACACGGAGTACAGAGGAGGTACGGGACACAATGATTTAGTTACCATGGTGATCAGTATAACACCATGTTAGCATTCTGACTATTTGCCCTTTTTGCTAAACGAATACGCTCTAATGTACTTTGAACGGTGCTACGAGGAGGTGGAGAGGCTGCAGTCGCCGTGATCCATTGCTGTAGTTACATGACATCATGTGTTATTTGTAGGTTACCACGACAACCATATTGTGATCCGGTGGTTCTGGGCAGCAGTGGAGAGGTTCAACAATGAACAGAGACTACGGCTCCTGCAGGTGCGTGTGCGTGCGTGTGTGTGTGTTAATGACTAAACGTTGCCCTCTTCACCTTGTTTTCCTTCTCTGTCCCTCTGTTCCTACCTTCCCATCGGTTTCTTCAGTTTGTAACCGGGACATCCAGCATTCCCTACGAGGGCTTTGCTTCTCTGCGAGGCAGCAATGGACCCCGCAGGTTCTGTGTGGAGAAGTGGGGGAAGGTCTCCGCACTGCCCAGGTACATCAATGTTGGGGTTTCCATTAAACTGTCTATAATATATAGTCAAGCTTTGTGCAAAGGGCATTCGTTTATGAGCTTTAAAGATGCTGGTAGGAGATTTATTTTCTCTTTAACCATGTTAGTTGTTTTCTAGTTTTCAGGTTAAATGTGAAATGGCTCAAACTGATGATGTTTCTGGACAAAAATTGAGTTTTCTTGTATCTCTACCACTCAAAGCGCTTTAGCACTAAATATCATACCCCTTTTTCCACGCATTCATACACTGATGCCAGGGGCGACCCTGCAAAGTGTCATCTGCCCAGCAGGACTAACTTCTACACACTGTCACCCATTTTACAACTGAGCCCCAGTGCTCATTTGTAAAATGGAAATCAGGAAAAGACGGGGCTCCAGTTAAAAAGACTTGCAAATAACGGTTTTGGGATAAAAAATGTGGTATTAAACAAAATGTTTCAATTGAAATAATATATTTTAAAAAGGGAAAATGTATATGTATTGATGCAACAAAAATTATTAAAGAAATAAAAAATAAACAAATTATACTGGTTATGGATTAACTGCCTTTTTATTATTTAAATTAAAAACATCTTTGTATCACTTTCCTCAAAAATGCCCCATATGTATTAACAATGGCACTTGATTGGTTCAACCCCTGCGCCTCTCTAAGGTTACCTGGCTTTAAAAAATGTTTAATCCTCGTGCATATTGGGTTAACGTGGCCCTTCTGAGATTTTAGCAATATGGAACATTCAATTCAACTAATTTTATTTTCTATAGCCCAAAATCACAAATTACCAACTTGCCTCAGAAGGTTCTACAGTCTGTAGGCTACACATGCGACATCCTCTGACTCGGGTCCCTCACACCGGCACAGTAAAGACTCAAAAAGTGAAACATCCTTCAATAGCCAGAAAAAAGGAAGGAAGGGGAGGGATCCATCCCGATGTCATGTGTACAGAATGCATAACCTAAAATGCGTACAGCACATTCAGTGCCCATGACAGAAATGATTCAGATATGTGCTTGAATTACACTTTGTTTAAACTAGTGTCTGTTTCCCTGTGATCTCTGTCTAGAGCCCATACCTGTTTCAATCGGCTGGACCTGCCACCATACCCCTCCTTCTCAATGCTGTATGAGAAGATGCTGACGGCCGTGGAGGAGACCAGCACCTTTGGGCTGGAATGATTCTCGCCACCGACACAGATTTCAGCTTTCCTCATTAATGGTGGTCATCAGGAGAAAAGGGGAAGCCACAGTGGACTATGGTTCAAAAACCTGGATTTAAAGTAAATTGTGTTTGATTCATAATTGGCTGTCATTTACAGATAAGACCATTGAGAGATGCGCTCTGAACCTGGGAAATGACCCATGTACACAGTTAAAGACTTGTTTTTTGTTGCACCTGAACACATGTCCAACCTACTTAGTAACACCCTTTCACCTCTGTGATGTGACGAATGGAGACCCGCACTGCCTTTGGGACCAGAAATAGTGACTGTTGGGGTTTGACCAATCTGAGATTGTGATGATTTTTTTTTTTCACTTTCTCTTTGATAGAGGAGTTTCAAATGTACACAATCACTGCCTTCAATGCAGACACTCAGTGGAATGAGACTCATTTATTCTAGTGTGGATAGACCTAAAATGTACACAATATCCAGAAGTGGGTTTCTCGCAGTTCATTCAACATTTTTAAGGTTTTTGCAATTTTACCCTGAACTTCTACAGTAGATTTTGGCTTTGGTATTTTACAGTATTTTCATCTACAAGAAAAAGTGATTTTCTAATAATATGGCAGTGACATGTTGTGGTTTGAATGTGAAAAACTTCATGATGTAGACTGATTTTTGTACCAGTTTTAGATCAATTGGCAAAAAAAGGATGTGGCCACCACTCCAGGAGTTCAAGAAGCAACACTCACTTTTGTAAAACTATCAATTTACTTGGATCTTCCCTGATTGTTTCGCTTTGATCCAGGTCAATTTTCAAAGTTTGTTAAAAGTAGTTTACACTCAAGGGGTGTGATTGAAAGAAAAATGTACATCCAACATGAATCGAATGTCTATATTTCAGAGGCGGATGTAGAAAATGGGTTGGTTAAAAAGCCTCGCTGGGGGGCCGAGGAGGGGGGTGGCTGTCTACGTTTTAGGGCACCAGCAGAGCACTTAAAAAATACAAATTGTGTATATGTTTTGTTTTTACTCATTTAAAGATATTTATATCATTATCATTTATTACTTTGCAAAGTGATGGTTGTTGAATTTTTCTATTGTGGGAGTGTTTTTCGACTGTCAATGCATCAAAATCATGTGATCTGGTGGACCCCTTACGAGGGAGAACCATATATATTTCAGTTACCTAATTTGACATTATTTCTACCTTTACTGCCACTGTGCGACAAGGCATATTTCCTTTAAATCCCAGTTACAAATATAGTTGTTACATGCATGAAGAAAGTATTAGCATCAATATATATTGTTTACAATTTGTGCACATTGTATTATTCTAAAAGTTCAGTACTGGGGCGATTTTAATCTAATTTCTTAACTATTTCATGTACTTCTGGAGTCTACTACAGTTGGCATTGATTATCTCCAGCCCCCCCTGCTTAGTAGCATAAACTGTTACAGATGGTTAGATTGGTGTACTCGGTAAATAACTACCAACTTAAGTTCACGTGCAGTGGAGTAAGAAGTCCATCTTCTTGCTGCGTAGCACAAGTAATAAAATTCTCAATACTCAAGGAAAAATAGCTCAAATTATAGTTGAGTAAATTTAACTCTGAACTTTACGATAGTTATTGCGATATTTCCTACTGAACCCGCAGTAGACCGACCACCATTGCCTTCCGTTCCTCCATGTTGTAGCATGGCTAACGGGAAATATGGAACAGCTTACTTTCAGCATCAACGGTAACCTTTTAGCTAACGTAACCATAAGGTTCTGGCTTTGGATATTGGGCGTTATCAGTCATCGATTGTCACCGTATTTCTCAACTGGTTCTATTTGGACGGATCAGTGAAGTGTGAGAGAGAAAATTACATTTTTTCAAAAGTAAGGACAACCCCAATTGTATTGGTGAGCAGCCCCCCCCCTCATATCAGCCAACCAAAACTAAATCCCCGAGCCGCAACGGCTGCTGGTGTCAAAATCACGTCAGGTAATTGGATTTCAAGACGCTATTTAAGTGAATGTATTATGTGGGCTACTCACAGAAAATGACCATGAAATATGACAACTGATTTTGTCGAGTCAAGGACCTGTTTACATTTTTAACAAATGTACACTCATTCAGATTACAAAATCTAATATCATTTTGTTATGCGTTTTCCTTTGCCAATTCAGTTTAATTAAATTAGGATCAAACAATTGCAACCTTATAATGAAAATATATTCTTGCCATCACTGAACGCACTGCCCTTCGTCAGTCACACCAGAATGTACCAAAGTTTTGAGCCTTACCCGGCTGCCACACATGTAACTAATCCAAACCACCACCTGTACAGGCCACCTCACCTTTGAATATGAATGTTTGTCAGCACTCTGCTCCTAAATATAAAATGTTATCACTATGCAAGTTTTTCCTTCTTCTTTCCATGTCACTTTCCTCTGAGTAAAACAAAGCAAGATCAGATGAAAATTCATATTTTTGTCTTCTATTTTTTTCACAGCATGATAGAGACTCTTGTCATATGTTCTATTTTCAATTCTCTCTTCTCTTTTTCCCTGCTGATTGTTTTAAATCATAAAAAAAAGCCTTTTAGTTGGATTCAGGAAAATAGCATAACTGACGTTAATAAGTTTCATAGTTACCTTTCAAATTCACTAGACCTCTTTGCTTACTCAAAAGCTTTTAATTAGTTAATTAGTAATGTTTCACTAGGTTCAAATGTTTTACTGCATGTTGAAGTTACAGGAATGAACTTAGGAACAAAAGAGGAGGGCGGTGGGGACGTGGGGTAAGGAATTGAACGATGTAAAGGATCAACGGAAGGAAGAGAGCCCTGAAGGACCGCTGACGCCGGTAGCTCGAAGGGGAGACTTCTGCAGAATCCCCCAAAAATAGCTCCATAAAGAGTTTTCTGTGTGTGTCTTCTTGAAAAATTGCTGCTTGTACTCGCCATTGCCATGAACGGCCCCTCACATGACTAGTTTTGATCATTTCAAAAAAGTGAATAAATTTGTTTTTCAAATGATCACAATTTCTGGCCTGGAATTGGCTCCACAAACAAAAGGTGTGAAAATGGTTGTTGTTGTAATAATAAAAGCTGAACTGCACCACTAATCCAACTTCTGTATGACCAAAAGCATTCATCTTTTCATGAAGTTTTAGTTTCTTAATGAAAACAAGGTTCAAATATTATGTTTTCCTTAATTATGAAAATGAAAAGAAAACTGAAGAAAAACCAACAACCATCCAACGATGATTAAAAGTCCATCTGTGCTCATGAGTTCACAAAACACAAAGTTTTGTGTTGTAAAAAAGACCCCAGACCCACAGAAACTACCTAATGTTTTTTTATTCAAAAATATGTGCACAGTCATTTTTTTAATTTAATTTGAAATTTACCACAATAATTTAATTCATTGCTGTGTCATTTAATTATCTACATCAGAAAGGTAAGTAATGTTGGATCAAACCACAGAGAATGAATTCATTTTAATACCGTGGTCCACGTGGTCGTGTCGACCGTCTTTCTGTCAGGTGTCTTCTGTTTCTCTGACTCTTCTTCATCATCCCTATTTCTCTTCAGCCTCCGGGGTTTGACTCCACAGGTTCCCCCGCTTGACTCCTCCTTTCTCCCCCCTTCACCCCCCCTCCCGTTTTCCCATCTCTCCCGACGCAGCGGCGGTCGGCCCGAGGACGGTCCGACAGCTCCCACTGCAGGCGGCTCCACGTCACTGCAGCAAATGTAGACTGGCACCCACCCAGCACTGGGGAGGCAACACAAACACACCTCGCCGAGCTCCTTCAGACATCAAAAAGCAGCATGATACAAAATGTTGCTTTGCAGCTGTGCCCTGAGAAGGGAGGACGGTCGGCTCGATCTCATAGACGCTTTAAAACAAAGGACTTCTGTTCATGGCCTTGGTTCATATCTCATTCTGTACGAAAGTTCCGGATCCAAGTTTTACTTTTATGTCAATTAATTATGATTTGCACCGGCCACTGAGGAGGATCTTGTGTGTGTGTGTGTGTGTGTGTGTGTGTGTGTGTGTGTGTGTGTGTGTGTGTGTGTGTGCAACCCTTAGCTTCACCTGGGTTCTTATCTCAACCTGCTTTGTAGCTTCTCGTAACTGGCACAGAGAATGTCCTCCACATGTGTATAAAAAGCGTTTTTAGTGCTCGGAGACGCATTTCCACAGAGCACTGTGATACGTGCCTGTGTATTTGACCTCCTGCTTGCAACCAATAAATGGACTTTTTGCAACTTTGATCATTCATCAAGACTCTGTTTTATCAGACAAATCATTCTCTTCTACCGAGCTTTTATTGAAATATTCCACAACAATTTGGCGTCACGAACAGGATTCGCTGACCGTCCGTCGGGCTCCGGGGGACCGTCCGGGGAAAAAGGCCTTTTCCAGGATCACCAGCTGATGATCCTGCCTCATACCTCCTTAGACAAGAGAGAAAGGACCGGCGGAAACCAGAGGAGTCCTGATCGACGTCACGTGAATCCAGCGAAGAAGAATTAATTTCTACAAACTTGGGTAAGAAGTTGAAATTCTAATTATAAAGTAACAGTAAGAGTTGAACATAACGGAGACGGATGACTGTGCAAGTGGTTGTTATAGTCTGGGGAATACAATTTATTTTTTAACATTTTGGTTTTTTTTTAAATTATAATATATTTTTTTATTTTTTTTGGAGTACTGTACATGATTCCGGGATATTTCTAATGCATTATTTTATGCGAAGGTAGATAGGATCGTGTACGATTTCACTCGGAACAAATTCTCCGAGATCGTAACGCAGATCGCTTGACTACCCGGGTAAAATAAGACCGCAGCACGGAGCAGGTAAAACGATATCACTGTTTTTGTTAACCAAACGTGAGTTCTACTGAATTACCTTTAGAATAAGATCGTGGCAATATCGAAGCGTGAGTTTTGAGTGGGGTTTATGCAAAGTTTTTCCTTGAGTAAAGAAACTACGCCTTACGGTGACGACTGTATTGTAATAAGTAAACCGGGGGGGTCCACCAGTAAAAGATGGGTGGCCAGTCCGCAAAACACACGGAACCGTCGGGTCCGATTGTGGCAATGATGCAGCAGAAATACGGGAGAACATGTACAGAGTGTCTCCCGTACTGGACAAAAGAGTTTGGGTTTCCAGAAAACGGCTCGTTGAGTGCCGCTAAACTTAAAACGTTAAGAGGGGGATTTGGAAGAAAGGTTGAAAGAATTTAAAAGTGGTAATAAGGGTCAAAGTGAAAGACTTGGAAATAATGGAGAAAAAGCAGACATGTCTGGCACAATGGGAAATGGAATGTGAATGCAGGGAGAGAAAACAAATGATGAAGAAAATGACGTGTTTAAAAACTGAAAAACCTGACATTGAAACACAGAATAATCCATGTGTGTCTTCCCCACTGTATCCATCCCTGACAGGGGCAGGCGGTCCTCTCCTGAACACGTGTTATCAAATTCCTGCACCACCTCCAGTCCAACAATCACCACCACCGTACAACCCCGATCCTACGGTTGGCAGACCTGTAACACGCAGTCAAACCCGGCTGGGAGACCAGGGAGGTGCCGACGTCAAATCGCGCTCACCCCTCAACCCATTCGGACCTGACCCCACAGCTCAGTCCACCCCGGACTCTGCGTGGTCAATCCACGACCCATCCTCCTGGAGGGGCACAGCCGGCAGAATTGTGGATTTTCTTAGTCCCGACACCACCATGGACAGTAAACCGGGTGGGCATCGTGGTGTCGTGTTCCGACCCTGGACAGCGACTGATATTCAACAGGCAGCCTCTCACCTGCCCGACATCAAAAACGGTGCAGCCTTTGGAAAAGAGTTCCTGGCCTTCTGTAAAGAATTCATGCCCACCGGACCCGAGATCCATCGTCTTCTGGTCAAACATGTGGGCCTGAGTGATTTCAGTAAAATCAGAGCGGTGGTCACTGGTCAGGGCTGTGACTCCCGCCACGAGGCACCCGACTGGGATCATGCAGATAACGTCGCCTACAGAGCATTTGTCACCGCAGTGTGTGCAGCTGTTGTTACAGCTTTTCCGGCAACAGTAAACATGGCCCCCATCAACAGCACAAAACAAGGTAGGACCGAAGATGTAACATTTTACCATCAGCGTCTTGTGGCTGCTTTTCAGATTCACAGCGGCCTCGAGGAGCCCACAGACATAACCAACATGACCGTGTGGGAAACTCATCTCAAGAACGCCTTCATGAACGGGCTTCTGCCAGACGTCAAAACTGCCACTGAACACTCTGTCGTGGGTCTGGAAGATGCAAGGCTCACAGAAGTGGTAAAACATGCACGACACAATTACAAAATGCATGTGGAAAATCAAATGCGTCAAGACAAACGCAGCAAGCAGACTGGGGAGAAAGCCCAGCTTGCGATGCTCCAAGCTTTAAAACAGTTGACACTGGGTGCAGAAGGAGGACGAGACCCCCACCCATCCGGAAATTTTTATGGGAGGGACCAACAGAGAGGACGAGCGTATGGAATAAATCATGGGAGAAGACGGCGTTTTCAAGGAGGGGCCCCACGAGAAGTGCAACCCGATGAATGCTTCCTCTGGCGAAACAGGACATTGGTACCAAGACTGCCCCTCCCGTTCAAACCTGGTACGTCAGCCACGTGGTCGACAGCGCCACTCCGGGACTGACAGAGGGGGTCAACAATTGGGCACTTCAGACTGACGGTGTGTGTGGGATGGAGATTGCACGTGTGAAGGGATGACTACTGCTGCCTCTTCAAAACAGGGAAGTGAAACACACCACACACACACAATGCTGCAACGAAGACCTGCTTCCTCGCACGCACACCCACATACACACGCACACACACACACAATGCTGCAATGAAGACCTGCTTCCTCGCGCGCACACTACAGAACAACATGCTGTTTTGCTCAGCATCATTTCTCACTTAGAGCAACAGCAACAGAATACATCCACACCACCACCACCACTCACGTATGCTATGTTTCCATCAGATGCATACAAAGATGCCAACTACACGAGTAATTGTGGAAGGGAAAGAATTGATGTTTTTAGTAGACTCCGGAGCTCCTCATTCAGTAATTTAAGAAAAACATTTTCCAAATCAAAAAATGAGTGGGCGGTATGTATATTCTCAAGGGGCTTCAGGTTTGACTGTGACAGAAAAATTTACTGCACCTATGACGAGTGTACACTCTGACGAGACTGACCTAAACCCTGACATGAAAGTAAAACATTCTTTTTTACTCTCTTCACTCTGTCCCATGAATCTGATGGGCAGAGACTTGATGTGTACATGTGGTATTTGTTTGACGTCATCTCCAGACGGCCTTAAAGTGGACTCCAAATGTTGCAAGAGGCTCCTTCTAATCCTCTTTTTGTGTATCAGTGGTGGATCCCGATCGATGATGCTCGGAGGCTGAGCCAGGCTGGTGAAGCACGGGTTTCTCCTCATGCAGACCGTATGAACTCTGAACACCTGCATTGCACAACATGTGTCTCAGAGGGTCCAGACGACTCTTTTGAAGAGACATTTTTTGAGGCCCTCAATGATGCAATTGCCTGTTCTACTTTGTACTGGTCAACTTGTAAATCGGCTGTGTCTATTTCTCTGTCTCCCACGCAGAAAGAGCTGTTTCAAGTTCCCGGCTCCTATCCCCATGTCTCACTGTCTGAAGGACGCCTTGACCAATGGAGGGATTTGGAACCATTTGAAGCTCTCACTGCCTGGGAGGAGACAATCGATCCGCTCGTTCTGCGCTCCGCCTCTAAAGGGTTTCACAGAACTCGCTGTGTGCTCCTCACACCAGCTTGTCGATCTGTCTATGTGTTTTATGAGCACAACGACAAAGTTGAAACATTTTTAACAACTCCCACGTCGATTTCTCCCGCTCTTGCTTCTGTTCCACAGACACTCTGGGCGGCACACAAATATTACGTAGGCTTGATCAACAACTGCCAACCGGTCGTCATCACTCCACGTTCTGACTATGTTGACGACTGTTTGATTGCAGCTCCAAATGAGGCACAGTGTCAGACAGACACGCTTAAACTACCTCAAACATTTAGCGAAGGAAGGCCACAAGGCCAGCCTTTCTAAATTACAATTTGTGTATCAAAATGTGCGTTTCCTAGGTCATGACATATCTGGAGAAGAAAAAACCCTCTCCCCAAAAATATGCTCATACTGTCGATCATTTATTCCAAACTACTCACAAATGGAACAACCGTTATCAAACTTAATCCATGGGAACAATCAGCACACGATGAAATAATCTGGACTGAAGAGGGTCTAGCGGCCTTCACACCAATGAAATGTGCTTTGCAAACTCTTGGACTGCCGAATCCAAACAAGCCATTTACTCAAACAGTAGATGAAAGACACGGCTGCATGACTTCTGTGCTGCTACAACCCCATGGTGATAAACTCCGCCCGGTGGCGTATTTCTCCGCAAAACTCGACCCTGTCGCTGCAGGACTGCCACATTGTTTGCGCGCTGTGGCCGTGGCTGAAAAAGCGCTCACAGCCTCACGTGACATAGTTGGCTATGCACCGTTGACTTTGCTCGTTCCGCATTCAGTGTCCCTAATTCTGGTAATGCATGGTAATGTATGTGGATGGATCCGCCTCCCGCGATCCTCAGTCTGGTGAAAATCGTGTTGGTTTTGCTGTTGTTTCTGACTCTGGTGTGCTGTGTTCAGGTCCTCTGCCATGTCACCTCTCAGCCCAGGCAGCCGAGCTCATCGCTCTGACCGAGGCCTGTAAACTGGCTACGGGTAAAACAGTCACAGTACCAGCAGTGGGCTCAGGCGACCCTACCCCCACAACAAGTGTCAATCAACCGACACCACCGTTGCAGTGACCACGGACGGGCAGTTGACCGACAGACACACAGTGCATTGTGATCTGTGTTGACTGTCTACAACGCGGATGCCTCACAAGAAAGAAGGTTGGCAGACTCCACATCCCAACGTGTACCTGCGGACCAACACAAGAAGAACACGGCCAGGACCCCTTCACATAGACACAGTAGTCGTTTGTGTCACTACGGTTTTATTCATATTATTGCTTGCTTCAGTTTCATTATCTATCTATATTTCTGTGATTCTGTAGTCCGCTACCTGAGTGTTTTTCTCTTATCATGGCGCGACAACGCCCATGGAACTTTCTCACGAGGCCAGAGGGAACTCGTTCCCACATTTTTATTTTCTTATGTTTCTGTGTTCATTACTGGTGTTCTATATTTTATGTTTTACACTTGCTTGCTAAACAACACGAGACATGGTCTCACAAAAACATATTTTTTTGCAATATTATGTGTGATTAAAGAATAATCAAGAGTGGAATGTGATGGTAAAATATGTTATAACATTGTTTGGTGCTAAAGCCGTGTCTCAAGTGTCTGTATTTGACCCTGATGTGCAAAAAGCAGCATGATACAAAATGTTGCTTTGCAGCTGTGCCCTGAGAAGGGAGGACGGTCGGCTCGATCTCATAGAAGCTTCAAAACAAAGGACTCCTCTTCATGGCCTTGGTTCATATCTTATTCGGTACGATAGTTCCGGATACACGTTTTACTTTATGTCAATTAATAATGATTTGCACCGGCCACTGAGGAGGATCTTGTGTGTGTGTGTGTGTGTGCTGCCCTCAGCTTCACCTGGGTTCTTATCTCAACCTGCTTTGCAGATTCTCGTAGCTGGCACGGAGAATGTCCTTAGCAATAAATGGACTTTTTGCAACTTTGATCATTCATCAAGACTCTGTTTTATCAGACAAATCATTCTCTTCTACCGAGCTTTTATTGAAATATTCCACAACAGTCCACAACTGCATAATAGTCCAGCTTGCAGTACTTGGTTGTCCATCAGATGTCCCTCCTAGGACAGGTCTATAGCAGCGGTCGGCAAACCTTCTGACTCGCGGCCACAATGGGTTGTAAAATGTGACCGAGGAGCCGGGCCAAGAACAAATGGTTGAAGTGTTTGTGTGAGCTGATATAAATGACATGTGAAAAATCATTACATGAAAGGATTTGGATTTTAACAAATAGCAAAGCATTTATTTGCAAGGCAATTAAAAAATTGGCAAAGGTGTAACAACTTCATGAGGACCAGGGATCTAAACGCAACACTTTGTTGTCTTTGTCTGTTTAATCGCAATGCTTTTTACGTGGCCACCGGAAACTTTATTGTTTCCAGTGTGATATTGCTTGTCCCAACAAAAGAGACCCCTTAACGTCCTACAATCGGTGCAATACATTATTTTCTTCATCATAAACCAGCCATTCTAAACTGGACCCCCACTTTTCATTCAACAGTGTTTTCTTTCTCTCTGGACTAGCTAGACTATTATGCAGGTACAGACACAACACAGGGGCCTGAGAAGGGAAGAAAATAAGTTTAACATGGATTATAAATGTGACTAAAACTAGACTAAAATGTAATTATTTTTAGTATTATTTTACCACAGGTTTTGTGTGGTATGAGATCCTGTAGCTGCACTGCTGATTACTGTTTTTTCCAGTAGAACCCGACTGGTAAGTTGTCTGGACCTGTAACTGTACTTCATTAGCAAAAGCTCTGGCTGGGCGGTTTACCTGTCCAACCGCATATCGGTTTCAAACACTGTTGCAAACTAATTTTCCGGGTAAGTTGCTTGAAGCAGGTCGTTTTGTTGCTAAATGACATTGTGATGCCATGGTGTTAAACCACTCAAGTCTTTGAGAAAAATCAGATTTTTCTCTTAGTGGAACTTTACAGCGACACATGGGAATTCACACAGGGGAGAAGCCTTTCAGGTGCTGATGTATGATTGAGGATCATCCGATTTTCTCTCTATATATATATGCGTGTGAATGTGTAAATGCTTCTACCATTGACTCTGGTGAGCTAAGATAGACATAAATCAAATCAAACTGCCATAGTTAAGCTTAAGCCACAGTTTAATTAGTTTAATTCAAGTTATGTGCTAATTTACCATTTGATATAATATTAAATGCTTGACATTTGTAATAAGAAACCAACCTTTGGTGTGAAAACATGCTTTCATTTTGAATGTATTGATTGTATCTGAACGAAACCCAGCCCTACAGGTAATACAACGGGTATGGCAGCGTATTTACATGCTGTGACAATGTACACACACACACACACACACACACACACACACACACGCACCACGGCTGGGACACAAAGGGATGTACAACATCTTCAATAAGTGCACAAAACTATATACTGTTGTTTAAGAGTGTTGCAGACTAGTTTCCAGAAAGAGTGTTTGATATTGAATCTTGTGTATATGTTATATCTAAATATAATGTTAAGTGGTATACCTCCATGTTAGTGTCATTGAGTGACACGCTTGAATATTGACTGCTTTGGTTAAGTTTTAATAAGATGTTTGAATAAAAATGATATGACAAAAATAAGATTCTTGTGAAGCCTCCCAACACTTGATGTGGCGGCTAACCCTGTGGCTGAAGGATAGAGGGCAAACGGCTACCAATTAGTCAGTAATGGTTTCTCTGATATGGAATGTCTGCAGTATGTGAAGCAGCTCCATCAATAACAGCCTGGTCCACTGTAAGATATTGCAGGGAGAGATTTAAATGGTTGTTAAGAATTCATCACCATCATGAACCTGAGGCTGCACTTGTCATTACTGATCACTGCAACTGATTGTTGCGTCTGTGGAACCTGGGTTGGTGATGTAGGATATTAGAAACAAATATACGACCCGGTTCATAAAGTTAATAAAAATGCATGTAGTGTACACCAGAATACAGCCATGATTCTGAAACTGTGTAATCAATAAAGAAATGACAATATTGTAAAACCACTGTAATTCTGCAACTGTAATAGAATAATACC